GCACACGCATCCTTCCCCGGCCAACACACGCATCTTTCCCCGTCCAGTAGACGCATCTTTCGCCGCCCAACACACGCATCTTTCCCCGTCCAGCACACGCATCTTTCTCCGTCCAGCACACGCATCTTTCTCCGTCCAGCACACGCATCCTTCCCCGCCCAACACACGCATCTTTCCCCGTCCAGCACACGCATCTTTCCCCGTCCAACACACGCATCTTTCCCCGTCCAGCACACGCATCTTTTTCCGTCCAGCACACGCATCTTTCCCCGCCCAGCACACGCATCTTTCCCCGCCCAACACACGCATCTTTCTCCGTCCAGCACACGCATCTTTCTCCGTCCAGCACACGCATCTTTCTCCGCCCAGCACACGCATCTTTCCCCGCCCAACACACGCATCTTTCTCCGTCCAGCACACGCATCTTTCTCCGCCCAACACACGCATCTTTCCCCGTCCAGCACACGCATCTTTCTCCGCCCAGCACGCATCCGTCCCAGCACACGCATTTTCCCCGTCCAGCACACGCATCTTTCCCCGTCCAAGCACGCATCTTTCCCCGTCCAGCACACGCATCTTTCTCCGTCCAGCACACGCATCTTTCCCCGCCCAACACACACGCATCTTTCTCCGCCCCACGCATCTTTCTCCGTCCAGCACACGCATCTTTCCCCGCCCAACACACGCATCTTTCCCCGTCCCACACGCATCTTTCTCCGTCCAGCACACGCATCTTTCCCCGTCCAACACACGCATCTTTCCCCGCCCAACACACGCATCTTTCTCCGTCCAGCACACGCATCTTTCCCCGTCCAGCACACGCATCTTTCCCCGCCCAACACACGCATCTTTTCCCCGCCCAGCACACGCATCTTTCCCCGCCCAACACACGCATCTTTCCCCGCCCAGCACACGCATCTTTCCCCGCCCAACACACGCATCTTTCCCCGCCCAGCACACGCATCTTTTCCCCGTCCAGCACACGCATCTTTCCCCGCCCAGCACACGCATCTTTCTCCGCCCAGCACACGCATCTTTCCCCGCCCAGCACACGCATCTTTCTCCGTCCAGCACACGCATCTTTTCCCCGCCCAGCACACGCATCTTTCCCCGCCCAGCACACGCATCTTTCTCCGTCCAGCACGCATCTTTTCCCCGTTCCAGCACACGCATCTTTCCCCGCCCAACAGACGCATCTTTCCCCGCCCAGCACACGCATCTTTCCCCGCCCAACACACGCATCTTTCTCCGTCCAGCACACGCATCTTTCCCCGCCCAACACATCACGCATCTTTCTCCGTCCAACACACGCATCTTTCCCCGCCCAACACACGAATCTTTTCCCGTCCAGCACACGCATCTTTCCCCGCCCAACACACGCATCTTTCCCCGCCCAACACACGCATCTTTCCCCGCCCAACACACGCATCTTTCCCCGCCCAGCACACGCATCTTTCTCCGTCCAGCACACGCATCTTTCCCCGTCCAACACACGCATCTTTCCCCGCCCAGCACACGCATCTTTCCCCGCCCAACACACGCATCTTTCCCCGCCCAACACACGCATCTTTCCCCGCCCAACACACGCATCTTTCCCCGCCCAGCACACGCATCTTTCCCCGCCCAACACACGCATCTTTCCCCGCCCAACACACAAATCTTTCCCCGCCCAACACACGCATCTTTCCCCGCCCAACACACTCATCTTTCCCCGCCCAACACACGCATCTTTTCCCGTCCAGCACACGCACCTGTTCTCCCATTTGGAGCCAGTACTGGCAGGAAGATATTATCCAATGCTCAGTATATTTCCCATTTTATTTGAAGGATGTGAATTCAAACAGTTTTGTCTCTGACGTTGTGCGAAACACAACTTGACCCATGAACCCATATAGTCACTAGATCAAACTGGATACAAAGTGACCTTTATACGATGGGGAATGTATTACCAGGTGGAGGATGGCCTAGGTTCGATCTCCTGACAGCGTCTTACTAAACAGTCAAAAGATGGTGCTTGTTAACGGGCCGCTCGGAAATATACTTGTCGGCTTTGAGTCAGAATATTTGCCTGAGTGACTCTAACAATGAATCCCTGTCGGGCTACCGTTATCAAACCGGCATAATCCCCGTGTAGTACAGTCAGCAACGCGCTCACACGTGCACACACGAAGCTATTGAAACAATGAACATGCTGTAAAACCTCATTTCACTCAGCTCCAAAAACACAACCTGAATGGCGGCTTCCACGGTTGAACGTGACAGGGCGGATTAAACAGCCTTCAGCTGTGTTCGCGGACACGTCAGTGTAGTTTGGAAGTGTTGGCACGAAGGTTTCCATGTCGAAGAACAAAGTCATCAGTTGACTTGAGAAATCATTAACCCCTGCTCGTAATCTCTTGCCTCACAGCCTGCATTCCATTAGTGAGAGCAAAATCCTGTCGTTCTAAGAGAGATGAATTGATATTTGATATGTTACACCCCCGTAGTGGTTGAATATTACAGTGAATTACGTATGAACATAAATACTCACTTAGTCAATTACTCAAGCAATAAAATGTTATATATCAATTTGAGGGCTTTAACACACGCACGCACGCACGCACGCACGCACACACAGACAGACAGACAGATATATACACGCATACATACATACATACATACATACATACATACATACATACATACATACATACATACATACATACATACATACATACATACATACATACATACATACATACATACATACATACATACATACATTTGATGGTGATAATGATAGTGACAGTGATGACGACGACGGTGAAGATGACGACAACGACCACTGCGGGTGACATACGCAGTTCTCCACTATCGCCCCTAAAACTGCTTCTACTAATGACCCGACAGTGAACGGCAGGAGATATTTCCCTTCTTTCTCGTGTTCTTGTAAGAAATCAAGCTGAGTGATGAGATGGATTGTTCTAGGCGCACCGATTACCATGAGTGATTGGCCTGCGGGGGAAAGAGCATTGATCGATTTTTCACTCTTACATTGCATTTTAGTCCCTACAATTCACAACTTTATACATGAAAATAGGACGAAAACATCAAATAAATTAGAATCCTTGATTCTCATACTTCAACAAAACGTTGACATCCTGGCAATGATAGCCCGCTTATAGAAAGTGACTCCATATTTGGAGAGAAATGCACCCTGACCTGTGTCAATTCGGAGATCAATGAGTTTCACATCGCATAGTCGCATACTTTTTGAACTATTCGTACTGAAATAGTGACAGATTGTTAGTTCGCTACATAAGGACATGTCAGAAGGAAAGTAGCGGCCAACGTGACTCGGCCTGAAGACGTTAATTACCTCCTGGAATGTGGCGTGGCGTGGCGTGGCGTGGCGTGGCGTGGCGTGGCGTGGCGTGTAGAATTGAAGGAGCACGATCTGGGGCTCCTTCACGAAACAAACTTTACTAAGGTTAACCTTAACTCCCATTCTTTAACATTGCACTAAGGTTACCTTAGTGACTTACGATCACCTTAGTGCTTTGTGAAAGGAGGCCCAGGACTGTTTGAAGACCTCGTGTCATTCCATGCACTTTGCCTCAATCGATCTTGGCGGTTTGAAGGCGTTGATAACTGTATCCAAATAACAGAGGTGACAGACATGATGTGTAGGTGATATGTGAGTGCTCGATGTAATGCTTGTCGTTCAGTGTGTGCTGGGGAAGACATTTGTGCTGGCTATATCATGGGGACTTCCCTGACAACCTTCATTTTGCTTCTACGATGTGACTCGAACTCGCTCCATCGTGGTGACCGAACACTTTACCCAGTAGCTTATACCCGACCCTTAAATGCTGGTATAGAAACTATAAGCCATCATCTCCAGTCCGTATTGGCTCCTGACCTAAAGAGTTATTGTGTATTGTATTGTTGCAACAAATCACCGCACAAGTAAAAATGTGCACAGAAACTAGGCACTACATCATCGTAATTCCATGCATCCTGCATCTCAGATGGGGCGAGGCTTGACCTTTCGATCTATCATTCAGATTGTCTATCTACGTGTTAAAAGCCTCTGTGGGGTTCTAAACTTCTCACACCGTACGGCAAGCCTACATCTAAAACCACTTGTCTAAATGAAGTGATCAGTAACACAAGTCCTTCGCGTCTCCTGTGGTGATAGTCGGGCTATATATTACCCGCTGCGGGAACTCGGCAGTTTCAGCTCTGTTTCATCACTGGTTTCACAGTAACCGTTCGGTGTGGGATTCTTTATTTTCAAATATTAGAACTTTATCGGGTTATCCTGTGGCGTGTGAATGTTGTCATCACTAGATTCCATTAGGTAATTAGGAAGAGTTTTCAACAAATTGCTGTATTGTGTTTGAAGAGGCTGGTGGCGGTGTGAGATGGAGTGGTTTCGACGGGGCATTTAGTTTCTTTTTCTGCAAGTGTCTGGGACATGGAGTCGGATGTTTATGTGAGGTGTATAGATGTGTGTGTGTAGGGTTTATGTGGCATGTAGAGATGTCTGTGTAGGGTTATGTGGGGTGTAGAGATGTCTTTGTAGGGTTATGTGGGGTGTAGGGATGTCTGTGTAGGGTTATTTGGGATGAAAAGATGTGTGTGGGTCGGGTTTATGGTGTGCAAGTACCTGCTTATTAATAATATGCAATTATATGCACTACAACTTGCATTCCTGTAGCTGTTTTCATACACATGTACTCTGGTTTATGAATGAGCCACTCGTACGTGTTGTTAAATCTATATGCTCACAACAAAGGACAAAATGCCGACTTAAACGATCGGCAACACACTCGATGACACAGTGCACCAGATAATGGGCGATAAATGATGTGCCCCTGTCAGACGGATTTGATAAGGAAGGCATGAAACATAATTTTCGCCTCTAATTACGGAATTTCTCCCGACGATTCGGAAAATTAGGTTCTTGTTATGTCATTTTCCAGGATGTTCTTTCTAATTATTGATTTATTTTTCAGTGCAGTTCCGTGTTCTAACACTAACGAGGGACCTCAAGACAAGGACTGGCGTGGTAGGCAGACTTGACAGTTCTATACATTTCGAACATTACAGACAATATATTGATGTTTAACATACAGTACTTTCTTTCTTTTGTGAATCCACATTTTAATGCAAGACTAGTAAAACATGTTTCAACGATCAATACATTCTAAGAGGCCGTTTCTGAGACAGCGTCACACACCATCCAGGAGATCTGGTAGTGTTGTGCTGGGCATGGCTGTCTGACATACACCATTCAGGAGATCTGGTACTGTTGTGCTGGGCATGGTTGTCTGACATACACCATTCAGGGGATCTCATACTGTTGTGCTGGGCATGGTTGTCTGACATACACCATTCAGGAGATCTGGTACTGTTATGCTGGGCGTGGTTGTCTGACATACACCATTCAGGGGATCTCATACTGTTATGCTGGGCGTGGTTGTCTGACATACACCATTCAGGAGATCTGGTACTGTTGTGCTGGGCGTGGCTGTCTGACATACACCATCCAGGAGATCTGGTACTGTTGTGTTGGGCATGGTTGTCTGACATACACCATTCAGGAGATCTGGTACTGTTGTGCTGGGCGTGGCTGTCTGACATACACCATCCAGGAGATCTGGTACTGTTATGCTGGGCGTGGTTGTCTGACATACATCATCCAGGAGATCTGGTACTGTTATGCTGGGCGTGGTTGTCTGACATACACCATTCAGGAGATCTGGTACTGTTATGCTGGGCGTGGTTGTCTGACATACACCATTCAGGAGATCTGGTACTGTTATGCTGGGCGTGGTTGTCTGACATACACCATTCAGGGGATCTGGTACTGTTATGCTGGGCGTGGTTGTCTGACATACACCATTCAGGGGATCTGGTACTGTTATGCTGGGCGTGGCTGTCTGACATACACCATCCAGGAGATCTGGTACTGTTATGCTGGGCGTGGTTGTCTGACATACACCATTCAGGAGATCTGGTACTGTTATGCTGGGCGTGGTTGTCTGACATACACCATTCAGGAGATCTGGTACTGTTATGCTGGGCGTGGTTGTCTGACATACACCATTCAGGAGATCTGGTACTGTTATGCTGGGCGTGGTTGTCTGACATACACCATTCAGGGATCTGGTACTGTTATGCTGGGCGTGGCTGTCTGACATACACCATCCAGGAGATCTGGTACTGTTGTGCTGGGCATGGTTGTCTGACATACATCATCCAGGAGATCTGGTACTGTTGTGTTGGGCATGGCTGTCTGACATACACCATCCAGGAGATCTGGTAGTGTTGTGTTGGGCATGGCTGTCTGACATACACCATCCAGGAGATCTGGTACTGTTGTGTTGGGCATGGCTGTCTGACATACACCATCCAGGGGATCTGGTACTGTTGTGTTGGGCATGGTTGTCTGACATACACCATTCAGGGGATCTGGTACTGTTGTGTTGGGCATGGTTGTCTGACATACACCATTCAGGGGATCTGGTACTGTTGTGCTGGGCATGGTTGTCTGACATACACCATTCAGGGGATCTGGTACTGTTGTGTTGGGCATGGTTGTCTGACATACACCATCCAGGGGATCTGGTACTGTTGTGCTGGGCATGGTTGTCTGACATACACCATTCAGGGGATCTGGTACTGTTGTGTTGGGCATGGTTGTCTGACATACACCATTCAGGGGATCTGGTACTGTTGTGCTGGGCGTGGTTGTCTGACATACACCATCCAGGAGATCTGGTACTGTTATGCTGGGCGTGGTTGTCTGACATACACCATTCAGGGGATCTGGTACTGTTGTGCTGGGCGTGGTTGTCTGACATACACCATCCAGGAGATCTGGTAGTGTTGTGTTGGGCATGGCTGTCTGACATACACCATCCAGGAGATCTGGTACTGTTGTGTTGGGCATGGCTGTCTGACATACACCATCCAGGAGATCTGGTACTGTTGTGTTGGGCATGGCTGTCTGACATACACCATCCAGGAGATCTGGTAGTGTTGTGTTGGGCATGGCTGACTGACATACACCATCCAGTAGATCTGGTAGTGTTGTGTTGGGCATGTCTGTCTGACATACACCATCCAGGAGATCTGGTAGTGTTGTGTTGGGCATGGCTGTCTGACATACACCATCCAGGAGATCTGGTAGTGTTGTGTTGAGCATGGCTGTCTGACATACACCATCCAGAGATCTGGTAGTGTTGTGTTGGGCATGGCTGTCTGACATACACCATCCAGTAGATCTGGTAGTGTTGTGTTGGGCATGTCTGTCTGACATACCCCATCCAGGAGATCTGGTAGTGTTGTGTTGGTCATGGCTGTCTGACATACACCATCCAGTAGATCTGGTAGTGTTGTGTTGGACATGGCTGTCTGACATACACCATCCAGTAGATCTGATAGTGTTGTGTTGGGCACGGCTGTCTGACATACACCATCCAGGAGATCTGGTAGTGTTGTGTTGGGCATGCCTGTCTGACATACCCCATCCAGGAGATCTGGAGGTGTTGTGTTGGGCATGGCTGTCTGACATACCCCATCCAGGAGATCTGGTAGTGTTGTGTTGAGCATGGCTGTCTGACATACCCCATCCAGGAGATCTGGAGATGTTGTGCTGGGCATGGCTGTCTGACATACACCATCCATGAGATCTGGTAGTGTTGTGTTGGGCATGTCTGTCTGACATACCCCATCCAGGAGATCTGGTAGTGTTGTGTTGGTCATTTGCTGTCTGACATACACCATCCAGGAGATCTGGTAGTGTTGTGTTGGGCATGGCTGTCTGACATACACCATCCAGGAGATCTGGTAGTGTTGTGTTGGGCATGGCTGTCTGACATACACCATCCAGTAGATCTGGTAGTGTTGTGTTGGGCATGGCTGTCTGACATACACCATCCAGTAGATCTGGTAGTGTTGTGTTGGGCATGGCTGTCTGACATTACACCATCCAGGAGATCTGGTAGTGTTGTGTTGGGCATGGCTGTCTGACATACACCATCCAGGAGATCTGGTAGTGTTGTGTTGAGCATGGCTGTCTGACATACACCATTCAAGAGATCTGGTAGTGTTGTGTTGGGCATGGCTGTCTGACATACACCATCCAGTAGATCTGGTAGTGTTGTGTTGGGCATGGCTGTCTGACATACCCCATCCAGGAGATCTGGTAGTGTTGTGTTGGGCATGGCTGTCTGACATACACCATCCAGGAGATCTGGTAGTGTTGTGTTGGGCATGGCTGTCTGACATACACCATCCAGGAGATCTGGTAGTGTTGTGTTGGGCATGGCTGTCTGACATACACCATCCAGGAGATCTGGTAGTGTTGTGTTGGGCATGCCTGTCTGACATACTGACATACCCATCCAGGAGATCTGGAGGTGTTGTGTTGAGCATGGCTGTCTGACATACACCATCCAGGAGATCTGGTAGTGTTGTGTTGAGCATGGCTGTCTGACATACCCCATCCAGGAGATCTGGAGATGTTGTGCTGAGCATGGCTGTCTGACATACACCATCCAGGAGATCTGGTAGTGTTGTGTTGGGCATGGCTGTCTGACATACACCATCCAGGAGATCTGGTAGTGTTGTGTTGGTCATGGCTGTCTGACATACACCATCCAGGAGATCTGGTAGTGTTGTGTTGGAGCATGGCTGTCTGACATACACCATCCAGTAGATCTGGTAGTGTTGTGTTGAGCACGGCTGTCTGACATACACCCCCATCCAGTAGATCTGGTAGTGTTGTGTTGAGCATGGCTGTCTGGCACCACGTCCATAAAATCAAAGTATTGTCAACTGCGATATCATTTTCATAATTATGCTATCCTAACAAATAACATTGCCAATATCATCTTCTTTGGGTATGAATTGATAAAATGGAAATTGTTTTTCTGTGTAGATTCAGAGCATCTTCATTAAAACTCCAAACGACATAAGAGTCAAACAATGGCTGAATGTTCAATGTCAAGGTAAGTAATTCATGTCTACATGTACTACTTGTATTTGTATGTGCACACTCTCACTCCCCTTACCTCTCTCTCTCTTTCTCGGTGTATTTAAATTACGCGATTAAACAACATGATTACAATCATGACGGTTGGAAATCGCATGGTCAGTATATATTCTCGCCTAATTGTGATGCCCGTGTTTCTAGGAGTGTCCAGCTTCAAGTACCCCATGCCAACCGAGCCAACGTTAGGGGAGTGGACCATTGAGGTGACCATTGAAGGAGAGACTACATCACAGCCGTTCAAGGTGCAAGAGTACGGTAAGGGTATCCTGTTCCTAGGTTGAATGTTCAAATTCCATGTCCTCGAGGTTGACAGTGGCATTCTGCATAAGGTTTGTTGTCAAGTGTTTTGTGTTTGTTCGCATGGCCAGCGATCTCGCAGCGCCCCATCGTGTCATTGTCCGAATGTCAAGGGTTTGAATCCCTTTGGTCCACCCGATTATAACCCTTGGTCTGACGCCCTTAAACTATTGAATCCCATGTTCCACCCGATTATAACCCTTGGTCTGACGCCCTTAAACTATTGAATCCCATGTTTCGCCCGATTATAACCCTTGGTCTGACGCCCTTAAACTATTGAATCCCATGTTGAACCCAGTCATAACCCTTGGTCGGACGCCCTTAAACTATTGAATCCCATATTCCACCCGATTATAACCCTTGGTCTGACGCCCTTAAACTATTGAATCCCTTGTTCCACCCGATTATAACCCTTGGTCTGACGCCCTTAAACTATTGCAATACTGTTCAAATAGACGAGCTAGGGGTCAACGGTGACCACAGAAATTGGCTGGGTAGAGATGCGTCTCTTTGGCCCACCAGAACGCTCTGATTGTGGGTTCTACCCCGATTATGTTATTAGGTTTGTCAGCATGTGCTCGTAGGTTACCAAACTTGTAAACCTCTGAGACGTGTATCACTGCGGACTTCCGCCAACATGAAGCTGACACGAGATGTAACTGGAATACTGTTATAAGTGGCATTAAATGAAACTCACTCACGCACACACAAGTCACACTAAGTCACCGCTCTCTTCACTTGCAGTGTTACCCAGGTTCGACGTTCAGATCACGCCGCCACCCTACCTGTTGTCCAACGCCTCCTCCATCGACGTGAAAGTCTGTGCCGAGTACGTACTGTAACGAGTGAGTGAGTTTAGTTTTACGCCACACTAAGCAATATTCCAGCTATATGGCGGCGGTCTGTAAATAATTGAGTCTGGATCCGACAATCCAGTGACCAACCACATGAGCATCGTTCTACGCAATTGGGAACCGATGACATGTGTCAACCAAGTCAGCGAGTCTGACCACCCGATCCCGTTAGTCGCCTCTTACGACAAGCATCGGTTACTAAAGATCAATATTCTAATTCGGATCTTCACGGGTCCGTACTGTAACGAGCCTCCTGAATACGTGAATGTTTGCTGTAACACTGACAGATGCAAGCAGTTTTTTGTGTGTCTCTTATCCTAGTAATATAATCTCTTTCCGTGTGGATTTCGGGTCAAAAAGGTCCTGAGGACCCCATGGATCTGGTTTGAATTCTACAGAGCTACCCCGAACGCCAAGACCCGTATACTTTAACATAGACTCGACACCTAATACTGTACCACGACACACCCTGACAAACCTTTGTGGGACGGGTCCCATTGAGTCATTAGAGTGATTCACGCAGTCGTCGGTCATTCTGTCAATCACTTGTTTATCTGGTCCAAACTCATTTACTTATTTATTCATATATCTGAGCAAAGTGAAGCCTGAGTTGCCCTATGTTCTAAATCGTTATTGATCTGAGTTATCGAACCAAATGCCATGGAAGCAGCGGTGATACCGGGTAGCTCCCCAGTGCGAAGCTTATAAGAGGCCACAAATGATGAACTGTAGTAATGATGTATGTACACATAGACTGTGTGCCATCAAACCCAAACCACATGATTGGTCACAAAGCGGTGAAGTTAAGCAGCGTCGAGCTCGGAGAGTCCTTGGATGGGTGACCGTGTTTGGCAGCTTGACTCCTGAGAGTTTCTAGGACTTGAGTCCTGCCCCACAACGAAGCACATGTGATACATGTGGTCTCACCTTAGGCAAGTGAGTTTGTTCAAAATTGTCTCTGTTCACCCAGCAGGAAAATGGGTACCCGGTGGAAAAAGTCATATGACTATAACCTTCTAGCGCCTAACAGGCAGCTTGGGTTATCCGGGGTAATAATGTGCTTTGCCTTGATTGTTAGCGCTATGAGCACACCTAGTGTGGAGTTTGGTGCTATATTAATGGACACATTATTATTATTACATGATTGGTGTTCATACTATCAACCTTGTCCCTGTTGGTGAGTGAGTGTCTGAGTTTAGGTTTACGCCGCTTTTAGCAATATTCCAGCAATATCACGGCAAGGGACACCATAAATGCGCTTCACACATTGTACCCATGTGGGGAATCGAACCCGGGTCTTCGGCGTGACGAGCGAACTATTTAACCATCAGGCTAACCCACCGCCCCTCGTCTCTGTGGGGACCATGTATAACTCTACTGGTCGGCAGGTCATTATGAGGGGCAGGTACAGTGTATACGTTGACAGCATACCCACATAGTATCGGTCACTGGGTCTGACTCATGTTACAAGATTCTGCCACAAAGCTGGAACTTTGCTGAGTACGGTTTTAGAAGCACACAACAGCATCACACAGTCTTATTGAAGCGGTAGCGACACATTTCTTTCAATCCTGAATTACATGCATAGTCTGTTTGCGGTGAAAACGTTCCGATGAACTTCACTTTAAACAAAATAGTAAATCAAATAGAGTGAAATTAAGATTGCGAATACTCATAATTTTACCTTGCCATTTGAAAATTTAAATCTCAGAATTTTATTCAACTTAGGATAAAAGTTGTTTAACAAACGATCATAGTTTCAAATCGGTATTATTGGTTTGTATTACAAGGGGGTATGCACATTAAATGAAACACCGAGAACAAGGAGGGTTGGTTTAAGTTGACGCTCATCACGTACTGCACGTGCATTTGTTTCACTGTTCGAACTACTGCGCTTACCCCCTTGTAATACAAACCAATATAAGCGATTTGAAACTATGATCGTTTGTTAAACAACTTTTTTTCCTAAGTGGAATAAAAATCTAAGATTTAAATGTTCAATTGGCAAGGTAGAATTATGAGGATTCGCAATCTTAATTTCACTTTATTCGATTTACATTTTTGTTTAAAGTGCAATTCACCGGTACGTTTTCACTGCAAACAGACTATGCATGTATTTCAGGATTGAAAGAAATGTGTCGCTACCGCTTCAGTATACTGTGTGATGCTGCTGTTGTGTGATTCTATAACCGTACTCAGCAATGGTCCAGCTTTGTGGCAGAATCTTGTAATTACTTGAGTTAGACCCCGTGACCGATACTATGTTCTTACACTGACTGGAGTCCTCGTTGTCTCCACGTTGTCTCCACTGCTGAAACAATGAATACATTTAAATCTATAGTCATATCTTATACCGTCTGAATTCTGTGCTCGTGAAGCTCGTTTCATTGTGCCGACATGAAGCGTCACTAGCATAGACAAGCAGAGTTGGCTCCCTGACATTCAGCCCAGGATTGTACTTGGAAATCAGTAAACGTAATATAAATTCACACGCTATGGTTCCGCGGGGGATTCTAATTGTGTGTGATACACCTGGAGGTGGCATTCAGCGGAACATGGAAACAGAATTGAATTCTTAAATGTCGCTGTCGGGGTAAAAACACATCTGATAGTAAAACCCTTGCGGATTCCTGAACAGAGAGCATCAAACAGCAGTGTTCAAGTGGGGATCGGGTGGACTCTGTATAATCTGTGTGTCCATTACATCTTACAGCGTTGATCCGCACGTGTGCTGTCAACTAGTGTTGGGAATTGGTTAAAATCTCGTAATTGATGATTGGTTCATTACAACCGATCAATCATCGAAAATAATTGGTTAGCGTCATTTATGAAATTTTCCTGGTTATTTTTTGATTATGCACATAAACTAAAGAATATACATGCAGTTCCTTGGGGTGATTTTTGCAAATTGCACATCTTTAAAGGATGACTAGTATGTTAGGAACATAAATTTCTTGTCGTCTTTAAAATAAATTCAGTTGTGACTTGGAACGAGCATGTAGTGTTCATGAAATGTAACAGACAAAACCAACCGTGTGTAAAATATTGTTAATGCAAAAAGTGTTCCAGAATTGTTTGTGTTCGACTATGAGAAAACATGATCGATTGCTTGGTCGTTTAGTCATTGCGACCAATCTTCGATTTTTTCAATTAATCGGACCACCACTACTGTCAACCACGGTCAATGTTGCCATGACTTCATTACATGCTGCAGTGATGTTCCTAGGGGCACAGTCCTGTATGCGACATTTAACAACATTCACACTCTTTAGATTACATGTACAGTATCTGCAATTTGCGTTCCGTGTCGTGGATATAAATCCCAGGTTTGTTCCGATAGCCTTACACTTCCAAGTTTTGTCAGCACCAATTCCGAGCTCATTGACATCACCAATGATGTAACTGAAAAAGACTGTTCCAAGCAGTGTCAAACCCGGTCATGTAACTGAACAACTGGAAAAACCCTCAAATTGCGTCAAACCTTAAACTCACTTGCACACATCACCTAGCATGTACTGTACCTGTTACTCGTTATATCGACACCCGGTGTTTGACACCCTACAAGGGTAAAATATGTAAAGCCCATTCTTGGTATGATTCTCCTTCTCTCTGTGAAACATCTCTAATTTTTTAAGCGGCGAAAAATATTACTCATTACCTGCTGTTGCAGATACACGTACGGCAAGCCAGTGACGGGCTATGTCAGTTTGGAGGTGTGTCTCACCATCTACGAATCGTCAGAACGGCCGTGTTACATCGAAACCGTCAAGGTAAGGCACAGGGATGGAGTCGAGTCTCACCAAATACATGTCACTGTAGCATAGACGATAGCATTGGTTTGTGGTCAGAATACGTTGGATACATTTTGGTTATTGTATTCTGTAAGTACCAGGAGGCACAGGTTGCCATAAATCGCAGACGTATGTTCCTTAACAGCTGGACACATGTGAGCACGTGTTCTAATCTCAGTGTTCACCTTGATGATGTTTCAATGTTTGTCACGCAATCTGCGTGGCCCTGTGGATAGAGCGTCTGTCCGGAGAGCGGGCGGTCCTTGGTTCGATACCGGGTTGTGTTATACCTGAAAACTTTACTTTGTCCGAAGACAGACAGACAGACAGACAGACAGAGAGACACGCTCAAACATGCACGACGGTAAACACGTGTAATAATCTTGTGCGCAACTCTGAACCCCAGTTCACCTCAATATCTGTTTGTCAGCGCCATGTTAGCAGTAGAGGTATTTAAAGCGGCCTTCACACGGCAAACCAAAGTTTGACAAAACACATGTTGAAATTTTAAAAGTTGTCAAACTCGTGTTTTCAGACGTCAAACACATGTGAAACACATGTCTCTATCGATCAGGTGACAATTTGCCTGACTCCGATTGGTTGTTTCTGAACAACACGAGTTTGACCACACCGAAAGTTTGATGGAAAGGTTGGTGAGAATAGAGACCGATCCTATTTCTCGACAAAAGTTTGACAGCTCTGTAATTGGTGTTGGTGGCGAGTTGTTGTAATGTTCACACTCTCAAACTCGAGTTTGACGACATTATTATTACAACATGTGACGTCAAACTTTAGTTTGCCGTGTGAAGGCCGCTCCACATCTGCATCACTTTCCTCCGACATTATGTTGACCTGCCTTGATAAGACCAGTATAATGAAAGCAGCATCTTGACCTCTTGGCGATCGCGATGGTCATGTTATATTCGTTATGGACGGTCAGCACCTGTTCCCTTCTGACATAATCTCTTATAGTTTTATAGTAATACATAGCAATACATCTCTCGTTTAGTTTTATAGTAATACATAGCAATACATCTCTCTTTTAGTTTTATAGTAATACATAGCAATACATCTCTCGTTTAGTTTTATCGTAATACATACATCTCTCGTTTAGTTTTAGAGTGATAGATAGCACATCTCTCCTTTAGTTTTACAGTAATACATAGCAATGCATCTCTCTTTTAGTTTTATCGTAATACATAGAAATACATCTCTCGTTTAGTTTTAGAGTGATAGATAGCAATGCATCTCTCTTTTAGTTTTACAGTAATACATAGCAATACATCTCTCTTTTAGTTTTATCGTAATACATAGAAATACATCTCTCGTTTAGTTTTAGAGTGATAGATAGCAATACATCTCTCTTTTAGTTTTACAGTAATACATAGCAATACATCTCTCGTTTAGTTTTAGAGTGATAGATAGCAATGCATCTCTCTTATAGTTTTAGTAATACATAGCAATGCATCTCTTTTAGTTTTATCGTAATACATAGAAATACATCTCGTTTAGTTTAGAGTGATAGATAGCATGCATCTCTTTAGTTTTATACATAGTAATCTCAGTTTTAGCAATACATCTCTCGTTTAGTTTTAGAGTGATAGATAGCAATGCATCTCTACATAGCAATGCATCTCTTTAGTTTTATCGTAATACATAGTTTTAGAGTGATAGATAGCAATGCATCTCTTTTAGTTTTACAGTAATACATAGCAATGCATCTCTTTAGTTTTATCGTAATACATAGCAATACATCTCTCGTTTAGTTTTAGAGTGATAGATAGCAATGCATCTCTCTTTTAGTTTTATAGTAATACTTAGCAATGCATCTCTCTTTTAGTTTTACAGTAATACATAGCAATACATCTCTCTTTTAGTTTTATCGTAATACATAGCAATACATCTCTTTAGTTTTAATACATTTACAGCAATGCAATGCATCTCTTTTTAGTTTTATCGTAATACATAGCAATTCATCTCTCTTTTAGTTTTATCGTAATACATAGCAATACATCTCTCTTTTAGTTTTATAGTGATAGATAGCAATGCATCTCACCCGTTGTGTGTTGTAAACTGATGAATCTGTCTCCAGTTCGATGGCTGCTACAAGTTCTCTATCAACACCAGCGAGGTGGAAATGGCCAACCGTAAATACTACTTGTATGGCGCCACACTTCGGATCAACGCCTCCGTTCGGGAAATTAATACAGGTATGGTAACAATAACGACTTGATGACATTAGCAATTTTCTTTATCTGAATTACGTGTTTGAGTAATGTTATCATCAGTGTTTTTATTCAGAAACTCAGAATTTATATTCGTACATCATCTGTCAGTCACATTTCGTTTCTCAAAATATTCTTTGGATAATTGGATAGACAGTGGAATAAGTATTATCTTTCATTGAAAAAAGGAGCTTTAAAAAACAGTTTCTGTTGCTGAAGTCTTTTTAGCATATTTTGTGGATTTTGATGCTATACCATGCGTTCTGTTTAGCTGCGGTTGTCAACAAGACGAGCATCGGTCCCAGTGTAACCTATGATCCGCTTAAGATCACGCTCGAAGACGACTCAAATGGTTTCTTTAAACCAATCTTCCCTTACCATGGTCGGGTGAGTGCCATTCTAATCAGGCGTATTTGTTCGGCTGAACACTGTATAACTGTTTCATATTTAATATGCACCGCTTACAGTAAGGACGTCCACGAACATCACAACATTCATACATTCCTGGCATAATCTATAAATATTAAATGAGCTTGAGTCTGACTGAGCATGTTTTTATGCCGCTTTTAGCGATATTCCAGCAATATCACGGTGGGGGGACACCAGAAATGGCCTTCACACATTGTAGGGACTCGAACCCGGGTCTTCAGAGTGACGAGCGAACGCTTTAACCATTAGGCTACCCCACCGCCCCAAATGAGCTTGAATGAATATGAAAAACAAAACATTAAAACAATTTCAGCATTGCCATTTTTGACTGATTATTATCAATAACATCAATAACATAAACATCAATATCAATTAGTTTATCATCGATATCACAAACAGTGTTGAGAGTGATACAGCTTAAGCCGTTGTATATATCCTCAGCACACGAAACACATGTGAATGGTACGGATCTTGTCAATATTTAGACACACCTCGGTACATCAGTTTTATCCTAGTAGGGTACGTACACCGAGACAGAGGCTGTAGCGCCAGCCTTAACTGATTCAATAACCTAGTTATTAGCCTCCCCAACAACATCAACACCATCTCCATCAGCTTTGAACGACTGAACTACGTCTTATCTTTCTAGGCTGTGGTTACGACTCCCGACGGAAAGCCAGCACCTGATGAGCTGATCGAAGTAACGTTGGTGGACTACCGTAACGACATTCGTCTCGCTAACAACTACACCACCGACAGTGACGGCATCATCCGCTTTAGTGTGTGTGACATCATCACCGAGAAGACACAAGACTTCAGCATTGATGTAATGGATGTTCTCAATACAATACCAATAAGGCATCTTCTGGCCCAGTGTCCTTGCTCTTTAAGTACCTGGGGCCACGGTAGTCAGGTTGTCTAGGGCGCTGCAATTTGATGAGGGCATCATTTTTTTATGTGTTTCACTTAGCCACCAAATTCTGAACATGGGTCGGTCGGTCGGGGGAAAATACATTTTTTTTAATTAAAACAAAATTATCCGAATAATGTTCTTGATTCTCATATATTGTAATTTTAATTTCAATTTCTCGTGGTTCTTTGGACTTGTAGCGGCGACTGATTAAAACATTTTAGATAGATAAACATTTTATATGACGAGGCTGTACCTTTTAAGTTCGAGTCGGCGGAGTCGGAATGGAAAACAAGAATTTTTTAGGGGGTGGGTGTGGGAGTCGGGGGATGAGTAACACAAAAAATATAAATGCTGCCCTGATCGTAGTTACATCCCTTGTATGTGCCGGGATTCACTGATCATGTTGCAACGCCGTTAGCGTCACCCTTGGTATCACCACTTGCGTCACTTAAAGTCTTCATTAACTCATACATCATCATCGAAGTTCAACACTGTTCAACTCTCGCCTTCAGTAATTAGGCTGTGGGATTATTAACACACATTTATTGTCGGTCTCCTTTCTTGGCCTTCCTAGTTCAGTAATCATTCTGCCATATAATGTCAAAACACGTCACTCTGATTATTCGGTATAGTCAGTGGTGTAGGATCAAGTTGAGACGAGCAATCTGCAGATGACTTATTTACATGAACGATTAACTAAATTAATATCAATCTCTATTCTTGGTTCAATCTATGATTTGCTTCCCATTCAGGCAAAGGCAGTCCTATACGCGAGCCCGTCCTCCTATAATGGTCTGTCTAACGCCCTCTCAATGACTCGGGCATACAAGACGGTGAAACAATGGTACTCTCCCTCGCTAAGCTACATCGCTATCCCTCGGCAGAGCCGCACCGTGGCGTGTGGGGGAGAGCTGGAAGTGACCATCCCGTACACCACCACCCTCAACACATACACCAAGTTCTACTACCAGGCAAGTCAAGTCGGGGACGCCAAACTGCTACTGTGCTTTACTGTTGAATGGTGACGTTGTGACATGATTGTGAATATGTTTCGACATTATCATAATGTTATTGTTGTAACGTTATTGCGATATTGGTTGTCATGCTACGAACACGTGGTTGTAATAGTAGTGAGACATGGTTGTTGCTGCATTGTGACAATGTTGTGAGTGAATGAGTATGTATACGCTGCATTTAGTAATTTTCCCGCAATATCGCCATGAGGGATATCAGAACTGGGCTTCACACATTGTACCCATGTGGGGAACATGACGGGCGAACGCTTGAACCACTAGGCTTCTCCATCGCCCTTGTGACATTGGTGTGACCATATTTACGTTGGTGTGACTGTATTGACATTGGTCTGACTGTATTGACATTGGTCTGACTGTATTGACATTGGTGTGACTGTATTGACATTGGTCTGACTGTATTGACATTGTGTGACTGTATTGCCATTGGTGTGACTGTATTGACATTGGTGTGACTGTATTGCCATTGGTCTGACTGTATTGACATTGGTGTGACTGTATTGACATTGATGTGACTGTATTGCCATTGGTGTGACTGTATTGACATTGTGTGACTACATTGACGTTGGTGTGACTGTATTGACATTGGTCTGACTGTATTGACATTGGTCTGACTGTATTGACATCGGTGTGACTGTATTGACATTGTGTGACTGTATTGACGTTGGTGTGACTGTATTGACATTGGTGTGACTATTGACATCGGTGTGACTGTTTTGACATTGTGTGACTGTATTGACATTGTGTGACTGTATTGACATTGATCTGACTGTATTGACATCGGTCTGACTGTATTGACATTGGTCTGACTGTACTGACATTGGTGTGACTGCATTGACGTTGGTGTGACTGTATTGACATTGGTGTGACTATTGACATTGGTGTGACTGTATTGACATTGTGTGACTGTATTGACATTGTGTGACTGTATTGACGTTGGTCTGACTGTATTGACATCGGCCTGATTGTATTGACATCGGTCTGACTGTATTGACATTGGTCTGACTGTACTGACATTGGTGTGACTGCATTGACATTGTGTGACTGCATTGACATTGTGTGACTGTATTGACATTGGTGTGACTGTATTGACGTTGGTGTGAGTGTATTGACATTGGTGTGACTGTATTGACATTGGTGTGACTGTATTGACAATGGCGTGACTGTATTGACGTTGGTGTGACTGTATTGACGTTGTTGTGTAACAGTGACATTGTCACGACATGATGTTGATATTGTTGTGGTGTATTGTTCGGCAGTATTGTTCTATTTTGTTGTGATTTCTTTGTACCTTTGTAGCGTTGTGAAGCCTATGTTACTGCGGTATGGTAATATTATTTTGACACTATTTAAGAGTTACTCAGACACATATGGTTTCAAGTTTTCATAAGGAGTTAGTGTCTCATTGAGTAAACCGCAGTATGAGACAGGAAATGATTAACGTATACAGTTCAGTTCAAGAGATTGAACTGTCCAATAATATTAACATAACATGCTGTATATCTTACCTGATTACGAAGTCTTATTATCTGCTCTTAACTCCAGGTGATGTCCCGTGGTCGAATCCTACATACTGGACACAAAGTACACCACTTCCTGAAGCACGACTCCACTGAGTTCCTGGAGGTGCCAATGGCATCGTGTCTTCAGAAGCTGCCTGACCCGTCCCCGCCCCCAGAGATTGGACAGGAAGAGGGCGGAGAGGAAGGCGTCCAGAATGAAGGGGAGGCTATCGAAAGTGTAGACCCTCCAGCGGAGATACAGGGTGGTCTCAACCATCCTCTAGGGGTGCGGAGGAAACGGGCACCTGTTATCGGTGAGTTGGAACAGATGAGGGATGGGGAGGAAGAGGAGGGGGAACAGATGAAGCATGACAACAAAACGCATGAGGGAAATAACACGTTTGAAGAGGGTGACAGCAATGGCAATTACACCTTTAACGACACGACCTCCCAGCATGAGAGGGATGACACGCATGTGGAGGGTGGTGATGGTGCTACCCCGCTTGAAGAACCTGGTGGTGGTGGTGCCGTGCATGATGCGGGTGGTGGCGGGGATGTGCATGATGAAGGTGGCGGCGGTGCCGTATATGAAGAGGCGGGTGACGGTACTGCTCACGACATGGGTGGTGGCGGGCACGAAGAGGGCGGTGGCAGTACTTTGCATGGAGAGGGTGGTGGCGATGCCGTGCATGAAGAGGGTGGTGGCGATACCGTGCATGAAGAGGGTGGTGGAGGTTCTGTGCGTGAACAAGGGGATGTCGTGCACGAAGAGGGTGGTGGCAGTACCGTTCACGAGGATGTCGGTTCTGTAGGGAATTACACGTTAGAAGCGTTATCACTTGTGCATGAGGGAAATGACTCGCATGGAGTACATGGTGTGAGGGAGGATGGAAATGGCACGCTTGGAGAGGCTGATATCACAATGGCTGACACCAACGATACATCTGAGCAGGAAAGTAATGGGCGGGACATGGAGTATATCTATAGTGAGGGGAATACAACTCAACAAGAGGGAAATTATACGCATGAAGCGGGGAATCACACGAATGAAGACGGGGGGCACATGCATGGAGAAGGGGAGCACCAACATAATGACGATGGTACTAGGAGTGATCAATTAACCGACGATGGAAAAGTAACTAACAATAGTAGCAATGACGCGCTACATAAAGTTGGTCAAGAAGCTAATGTCACTCAGGGGTTGGGTGGGGAAATACAAAATGACCAGTCGGAAAGAACCGAAAACGATACAGTTGTGCAAGACAATTACAAAAAGACTCTAAAGACAAATAGTGGCCCATCTGATAATGCTCCGTCTGACGTGGGAAGTGCAGGAGCCAACGGTTCCATAGCAACTGATGTGGGTGTGATGGAAAATGAAACCTCAAATGAGGGACAAAGGAATTGTAAGGAAAACTGCAGAAACGCAGAGGCAGATGATTTAGGAAATGATTATGGTTACGATGAATATGATGATGATGATTATGATGATGATTATGATGATGAATACGATGAGGATAATAGAAATAGGAACCAGATAAGTGAAGACATATACGGCGAGGAACCCATTCAAGCGGCTATTTTCAGACCGTTTGGGTTGAGGAAAAAGCGGTCATCCGGTATAGGTGAGTGTAGGTAGCTGTAGGTTGTAGGTCAGACAAACAAGATGATAAATCTGGCATTTTCACTGCCCATGTTACCACATATCCAACTGCCTCGTCATTAGACCTCTTCCCAAATGATCTATTCTCCACAAGAACAAAACATTTGATGTGCTAGATATAGAAGTTCACTTGGTTAACTCAACCTGAGACTAATGCCTTATAATACATTGCAGTAAGATAATAGTGTATTCACCATTTCCACCAAATCATGAAGCTCCTCGCAGCGGTAACCCGCTCGCGGAGCTAGCTGTCACTGTGTGCTTTCCACGTATTGGCATACGAGCCCAGACACACTATTCTTCCAAAGCCAAACTTTGTTTCTCAATATGAATTTCTATCCCATTTCAGTTATCATTTTATTGGTACAACTGGTGTGGGGGAAGGGATCTGGTGCTTTTCTTTTCGTCTGGAATGTCGAACCAACCTGATTTTTAACCACCAAACGTAAATTCATCTGGCATGTAGCAATTTATAATTTACTACTAGCTACACTATAATGATATCCCCCCCCCAAAACAAACAAAACAACAACAACAACAACAAAACAAAAACATTTGGGGTTATCTAGAGGGTAAATGTGACATGGCCACCCTTGTGACGGCGATGAATCCGAGAGGGTGATGATGGTGCCACGCGCTGGGATAGAGTTTGTGGATGCAATGCAGGAAGGGAGGTAACTCCCACCAGTATGATTTCTTTAGTTTTCTTCTTTTATATTTTATCTAACATGTCCTATTTTTCCGAATTTGTTCCCAATAAAGCGATCCTGTCATATGTTTGTTTTAACCCATCATCACACCACACGTACACCACATGCCATGATGCACTATGCCTTAAACCCTACTATAAAACTGTTGACAGTGATGTTATTTCCATTAAATGATCTTCTGACGAAACTGTTTTTGCTTCAGCTGCAGAGATGGCTGGTAGTGATGTGTCTGACGGTGTTGAGGATGGTGAGAAACCACCCCCCGCGCCGACCGGACCACCACCTCCTCCCCCTCCCCCATCCCGACACGTGTCCCACTTCACTATACGGGTGCCGGTGACGGAGGAGATGTCCCCAGAGGCTAGTCTCCTAGTCTACTATGTTCGGGATGACGGGGAGACAGTGGCCGACAGCATCAACTTCAAAGTCGAAGCGTGCTTTAAGAACAAGGTGAATTGATCTGGAAGCTTGCATTGCTGAATACAAGAACCTTACAACAGTTTGAACTGCATGCAACCTGATGAAGTAGACACATAGGCGGATCCAGAGGGGCGTTGCAGGGGTGCGCACCCCGCTTTTGTCCTGGATGTTTATTAAAAGACCATTGAAACTCTCGGGAACATAAAGTGTGCATGCCCACTTTCTCAAAAGTGTGCACACACCCCACCCCACCCCACCCCACCCCTTTCTCAAAAAGCTGTATCCGCCTCTGAGATAGTCCTCGTCCCAACCACCTTCATTTGATAACGGTCAACAACAAAAACAGGGACTGCATGTAGACTTCGTCCGATTTGCAATCTTTGCAATTTCAAAGGTGCTCATTTACTGCATGCGATCAAGATTTAGTTCAATCTCTCGATAGATGGGTGTGCTCATTCAGACAGAAGCTCACACTATCGGCTGTGTTCGTGGCGTCCATCCCAGCACGGGAGCTGCTTGTCTGGAAATACCTGCAGTCTAGACGCCAGTGCCCACCAGGATACACCTCAGTCGTGACTTCACTGGTCGTGTGGATGGTTCTCTTCCACCTTTTTAATACTGATGTTCCTCTACTTCATAGGTTTAGGGAATTCGGTAGAAATGGTCCCAAGTAAACTCGGCAGGGTTGAAGAGCCCCCTGACATAAGGAGAGGGCATATGCTATCAATCATTGGTTTATATGGCCAACACTTCTGTACCTGCCACCTTGATCTGTAGGCGCTATCTCATGTACACGTATATCTCCACCACCTCCCTCTATAATAACATAAACAATGTATTTGATTGCGTATGTCGAATTCCGGATAAACCAGATTCTACTGTTTTCAACCCTGGGCGCCGTCCCATCTTTGACTTTAGGACGGAATCATTTTCTGTCATTTTTACCATGCAGTTTGAACCAGTTGTCATAATTGTTATTGATCATTGCCCATGAAATGCATTCCAATTTGTCATCGCGTACACGTGTTGTGTTCTATATATTGTGTGTATGCAATCGTATTGCTGTGGATCTGTACTACTTGGCCTTGATTTACGAAGCTCTCTTAGCGCTAAGATAGTCGTAAGTTAATGTAAATGTATGGCACTCACGACTATCTTAGCGCTAAGAGAGCTTCGAAAACCTAGGCCTTGTTTCTTGGCCGTTCTTGATGTCCGCGCCACGTTATCTCGAATGTTCGCCGGATATTTAGAAGGACGCATAGCTTCAATATTTTCAGATGTGTCAAATATCAGTGGCATACGTATTCTCATTGCAGGTGAATCTAGATTTCCTGGAAAAGAAAGTCATACCCGGAATGGAGGCAACTCTTCGGCTACAAGCAGCACCCGGATCACTCTGCTCAGTAGGAATGATTGACAAAAGTATTAATATTCTCGGCGGAGACCACCAGTTGACGCCTGATAAGGTAATCTCTCACTCATGAACTCACTCTTGGACAAACTTCCTGTGTATTCCGTAGAGGGGCTTGTGTTGACAAATGCGTATACTGTAGAAGCTATATATACTTAAAAAAGAGATTTTTTCAGCATATTCATGTCATTGCCAGTCCCTATACAATATGTACAGTTATTTTTCTGAGGCATGACATATATTTGGCTGAACAGAAACTGCGACATTTGAAATGTGTTTGAAGCCCGCGTGAAACTTAAACCCAAATTTCACCTCGGTAGGACATTTATGGTTATATTTACTGAGGGTTACAAAACGTTGTTATAATATATTGGATCGTTTACGTTTATGTAGAATTTAAACGTTATCCAACACTGTGCAATGTTATTAACGAAAGGAATTAGATCAAACGCATTTAAATAGATAGGAAATTAGCGTACCCAAGGTGGGATGTGTTTAGGTCCACGGAACTTTAACGGGTGGTGTATTTTCTGGGATATTCAGGCTGACGTAGTGTTTAGGTCCACGGCACTTTAAAGGGTGTTGTATTTTCTGGGATATTCAGGCTGACTTAGTGTTTAGGTCCAGGGAACTTTAAAGGTTGGTGTATTTTCTGGGATATTCAGGCTGACTTAGTGTTTAGGTCCAAGGCACTTTAAATGTTGGTGTATTTTCTTGGATATTCAGGCTGACTTAGTGTTTAGGTCCGCGGAACTTTAAAGGTTGGTGTATTTTCTGGGATATTCAGGCTGACGTAGTAAAGTGGCCAATGACGAACTGTCGCACCCCGACCACGTGTGACATTGCTCATAGTATCAACCACATGTTGTCAGGCCTAGACTACATGCTGCAGCCATGTGAGTGTGTATTGGGAACATGATGGATGAACCAACCAACCATTCTGAGACGTATATTTCTTCTTCAGATGTTCGATATACTAAGCAAATATGGAGCGGAGCACCACTACTACTATAGGCTGGACAGAGAATACTGTGAGCGGAAGGTGAACGGTAAGTACATGCAGAGGAAGTCGTTCTGTCCTAGGATGTTTCGTTAAAGATCTTTAACCGCAAAGGGCAAGTGTGGTTGTTCGGACAAGCGGCCCTTATCAGTGCTTATAACAGTGCGGTAGGGTAACATGTAAGTCCTGTAATGTATAGTCCGTTTGACTTCATTTGAGACCGATGAATTGCTCACCAACACAAAATATAATAAATGCAACAAAATCAAACTTTGCACGGTTACATGAAATTGACAGACCAACTCTTATGATTTGTCTCATGTAACTTGTATTGACATTGGTATGACTGTATTGACATTGGTATGACTGTATTGACGTTGATGTGACTGTATTGACATTGGTATGTCTGTATTGACATGGGTATGACTGTATTGGCATTGGTATGACTGTATTGACATTGGTATGACTGTATTGACATTGGTATGACTGTATTGACATTGGTGTGACTGTATTGAAGTTGATGTGACTGTATTGACATTGATATGACTGTATTGACATTGGTCTGACTGTATTGACATTGATGTGACTGTATTGACATTGGTCGGACTGTATTGACATTGGTATGACTGTATTGTCATTGGTATGACTGTATTGACATTGGTGTGACTGTATTGACATTGATGTGACTGTATTGACATTGGTATAACTGCATTGACATTGATGTGACTGTATTGACATTGGTATGACTGCATTGACATTGATGTGACTGTATTGAAGTTGATGTGACTGTATTGACATTGATATGACTGTATTGACATTGGTCTGACTGTATTGACATTGATGTGACTGTATTGACATTGGTCGGACTGTATTGACATTGGTTTGTCTGTATTGAGATTGGTATCACTGTATTGACGTTGATGTGACTGTATTGGCATTGGTATGTCCGTATTGACATTGGTATGACTGTATTGACATTAGTATGACTGTATTGACATTGGTGTGACTGTATTGACATTGATGTGACTGTATTGACATTGGTATAACTGCATTGACATTGATGTGACTGTATTGACATTGGTATGACTGCATTGACATTGATGTGACTGTATTGAAGTTGATGTGACTGTATTGACATTGATATGACTGTATTGACATTGGTCTGACTGTATTGACATTGATGTGACTGTATTGACATTGGTCGGACTGTATTGACATTGGTATGACTGTATTGTCATTGGTATGTCTGTATTTACGTTGGTATGACTGTATTGACGTTGATGTGACTGAATTGACATTGGTATGTCGTTCTGTCCTAGGATGTTTCGTTATTTAAAGAAAGGGCAAGTGCGGTTGTCCAGACAAGTGGTTCTTCTCAGTGTTTATAAGAGTGCTGTACATGTAACCTGTATGTGGACCTACAATGTACGTGACAATGTTCTATAACTGCAGATGAAGAACGCACCCCGGAACACGAAATGTATTCGGGATGGTGGCATTACTCATCAGGATACGTGGACGCAATCGAAGCTTTCAGGGTGAGCATTGCACACAGTTTTCGTTCATTTCCCACCATGACAAGGTGATTGACTTGTTTAAGGCAAGTGCACAATGAGTGCATGTGTGCCAGTAAGTAGGGGTAAGACGTATGGTTAACGTTTTCAAGTCAAATTACGATACTTCGAAACCTCAAACCATGTCGGCAGAGATAATTTTGTTAGATATATTTTGCTTCCACAGGAGACTTAAGATCGTCTCGTGTGCTCACCTAAATGCGATTACCGCTGACACTTTCCCTAACTTGGTGGATGGTGGTTACTTTGGTTTAAGGAAACCCATAATTGTTATTTAGGTAAGGTTTCAGCAAACACAAAAGAAACCATATCTGTCTGGAAAGAGTATCCCGTGGGGAAATCTCTGTTGCGTCTGTCTAAATTCAGTAGTCGCCAACCTGGTTGTCATAATTCTATGTTAAATATGGAAGTAGCGCTGTGATGGTCTTAGCATAAAGATCACTTTGTGAAACCGACCCTCTATTATAAACAGAGAGGCTACGAGAGCCGAATGAATGAAAAGTTTGCTCTCTACACATGGGTACAGTGTGTCATTTCTGTCATTTAACCATACTCGCTGACTATTGCAGCAAATGGGGATGGCGGTCGCCACGAACATGTTGCTGGAGACGCGGCCATGCTCCAGGGAGTATCCTGTGTACTACGATGGAGGTAAGGATGTCCCAGGCCTATGTGATTGAGAGAGAGAGTTTAGTTTTACGCCGCACTCTGCAATATTCCAGCTATATGGCGGCGGTCTGTAAATAATAGAGTCTGGACCAGACAATCCAGTGATCAACAGCATGAGCATCGATGTGCGCAGCTAGGAACCGATGACATGTTGTCAACGAAGTAAGCGAGCCTGACCGCGCGCATGTGATTGAGTTAGTTACTGATTTGGATGTTCAATTGACTCCTTTTAATTTCAGCTCATTGTGAAAGTATTTTGCATGCAGTAATATTCTCGATTCTTTTCTTCAAGAACGATAAGTAATGTTTGTACTCGGGCGATATATCCCTTATACGAAAGTTGTAGATGAATGTGAGAAACAGTATAACTGTATATAGGTGTGTTGGGATGGGTGGGACTTTGTTAAACATAGAACTGAACATAAGTACATGTTGCATCCAGCAGTGCTGAAGTGTTGAAGACATCGGGCCGGTTCATGAGAGGAATTTACCTTTTGGATGTACTTTCCAACCTACTAATATTGAAGTCCTATTGATACCAGTCCGCCCGGAGAGCGGAAGGTCGCAGGTTCGATCCCCGACCGCGTCATACCAAAAGACGTTAAAATATGATACTTGTTTGGTCCCTGCCTGGCGCTCGGCATTAATGGGTACAACAAGGACTGGTCGGCTCGGAGTCAGTATAATGTGTCTGAGTGGGGTATTCATGCTTCACTGCGGCATGGTATCTCAGTGTGCTAGCACTATAAAACCAGCTTAAGTCTGGGCTAGTACAAGCAGCCGCACATACACATACACACGCATGCACGTCGTCATATGAGCGAAATATTCTCAAGCACGACGTTAAACCCAATTTCACCTCACCTCACCTATTGATACCATGCAAGTGTCGTTGTTTGTGAAGGAACCTTGTTGTATACATACCGTCTCCTACCCCTCCCTCTATATCTTTACCTCCATACCTGACTATTATGTGTGTTCAACAGGCCCGGGGCTGCCAGGGCCCATTACAATACAGACCGAACCACTCCCACTCAGCGGAGCACAGAAAAAGAAACCTTCTGGTTCTGTTCTTCGAAGCTACTTCCCCGAGACCTGGCTATGGGAGCTGGAACAAGTGGGGTATGTTGTTACACGTAGTCTATATAGTCTATATGACAGTCAGTTGGGTTTTCAGTTATACCACTGCGCGTCACCTTAGGGTTAGAGGAAGCCCCGAAGAAACATATCAAGGGACAATCTGGGATAATCAATTTTATGTTGTCAGAATACTCAGATATATATTTTCCGCCTTGATATGTCGACTGCTTCACGCGCGTAAAATCATACTTGTAAACTTGTTCCACTTTGTCTTGGCCTATATACATCCCCGCCTATTATACGGTCAACCTGAACTTCGCAGGACTTCCTTGCAAGTCTTCTCCAATGTTTATCATGACACGGCTGTTGTATTCCAGTGACGAAGGAGAGCTGGAACTGAGGAAGACTACCCCTCACACCATCACCCGCTGGGTCGGCAACACCATCTGTACCAGCCAGTCAGCGGGTGTTGGGGTGTCTCCACTGACGTCATTGACAACTTTTCAGCCGTTCTTCTTGAGTATTCATCTCCCATACGCTGCCGTTAGGGGGGAACGACTTCCGCTGCACGTCACTGTCTTCAACTACCTTGAGAAATGTCTGCATGTACGTATTGCGACTGTCTGTATGTAGATATTGTGATGGTTGACTACTTTGATGACTATCTGTTGAAATGATCGACTACCATGAAAGATGTCTGTGACGTCTTTGAAAAGTCTGTAAGTCTTGTGGTGGTTGACTTGCGAACTGTCTGTATGTGTAGATATTGTGACTGTCTGTATGTACCGGGATGGCTGACTTCTATTGCGACTGTCTGTATGTAGATATTGCGACTGTCTGTTGATGTAGATATGTGCGACTGTCTGTATGTAGATATTGTGACTGTCTGTATGTAGATATTGTGACTGTATGTGCGTACCGGAATGTGACTTCTATGAGAAATGTCTGTATGTGCGTACCGGGATGGTTGACGTCTTTGAGAAATGTCTGATGTGCTACCTGGGATGGTTGACTTCTTTGAGAAAATGATCGACTACCATGAAAGATGTCTGTATGGTAAGTCTTGTGGTGGTTGACTTCTTTGAAAAATGTCTGTATGTGCGTACCGGGATGTTGACTTCTTTGACTTCTGTGCATACTGGGATGGTTGAGAAATGTCTGGTATGTGTGCGTACCGGGATGGTTGACTCTTTGAGAAATGTCTGTATGTGCGTACCGGGATGGTTGACTTCTTTGAGAAATGTCTGTATGTCTGTACCGGGTATGGATTGACTTCTTTTTGAGGTCTGTGCGTCTGTATACGTTTGAGAAAGTCCGTTTTGCGTGATGGTTGACTTCTTTGAGTAAATGTCTGTATGTGTCTGTATGTAAGTATTGTGATGGTTGACGTCTTTGAGAAATGTCTGTATGTGCGTACCGGGATGGTTGACTTCTTTGAAAAGTCTATATGTAAGCATTGTGGGATGGTTGACTTCTGTATGTATGTGCGTACCGGGATGGTTGACTTCTTTGAAAATGTCTGTATGTGCGTACCGGGATGGGATGGTATTGACTTCTTTGAGAAATGTCTGTATGTGCGTACCGGGATGGTTGACTTCTTTGAGAAATGTGTGTCTGTATGTGCGTATGTGCGTACCAGGATGGTTGACTTCTTCTGAGAAATGTCTGTATGTGCATACCGGGATGGTTGACGTCTTTGAGAAATGTCTGTATGTGCGTACCGGGATGGCTGACTTCTATGAGAAATGTCTGTATGTGCGTACCGGGATGGTTGACGTCTTTGAGAAATGTCTGTATGTGCGTACCGGGATGGTTGACTTCTATGAGAAATGTCTGTATGTGCGTACCGGGATGGTTGACGTCTTTGAGAAATGTCTGTATGTGCGTACCGGGATGGTTGACTTCTTTGAGAAATGTCTGTATGTAAGTATTGTGATGGTTGACTTCTTTGAGAAATGTCTGTATGTGCGTACCGGGATGGTTGACGTCTTTGAGAAATGTCTGTATGTGCGTACCGGGATGGTTGACGTCTTTGAGAAATGTCTGTATGTGCGTACCGGGATGGTTGACTTCTTTGAGAAGTGTCTGTATGTGCGTACCAGGATGGTTGACTTCTTTGAGAAGTGTCTGTATGTGCGTACCGGGATGGTTGACTTCTTTGAGAAGTGTCTGTATGTGCATACTGGGATGGTTGACTTCTTTGAGAAGTGTCTGTATGTAAGTATTGTGATGGTTGACTTCTTTGAGAAATGTCTGTATGTGCGTACCGGGATGGTTGACTTCTTTGAGAAATGTCTGTATGTGCGTACCGGGATGGTTGACTTCTTTGAGAAATGTCTGTATGTAAGTATTGTGGTGGTTGACTTCTTTGAGAAGTGTCTGTATGTGCGTACCGGGATGGTTGACTTCTTTGAGAAATGTCTGTATGTGCGTACCGGGATGGTTGACTTCTTTGAGAAATGTCTGTATGTGCGTACCGGGATGGTTGACTCCTTTGAGAAATGTCTGTATGTGCGCACCGGGATGGTTGACTTCTTTGAGAGATGTCTGTATGTGCGTACTGGGATGGTTGACTTCTTTAAGAAGTTTCTGTATGTAAGTATTGTGATGGTTGACTAGCTTGAAAAATGTATATAGGTATATTGTGATGGCTGACGAACTCGAAACAATGTCTGTACACCAGTATTGTGCCTAAATGATGCAGTACATATACGAAGGTGACATGACATGAAGGAGTCGTTTGTGGAATCTGGTTATGTTAAGATGTTCAAGAATCGCTGTGTGCAAGTGTTTCCGTTAAACATGATACATTTAGGTACGTTATCTGAGAGAAGTGTCACAGTGTGGTAGGAATACCGCAAATATATGTATATAGACTCGTGGAGAGTGGGGTAGGGGGTGACGAGTGGGAGTGGATGGACCGTTAATATTCTGGTGGAAGGGACAGTGGTAGGGGGATGCATAACATGTTAATTGCCTCTAATGTCATGCAACTCATGACCCACAAAGATGTTATCGAATATTTAGAGAGAGTGAAACGATTGAAATGATCTAGTATGTTCCTGAACGAACCGTATTTTATGGAACAGTGAAGTATGAGAGGTTATGGTCTGATGGTTAAACGGTGCAACCTGGCTGAAGACGTGCTATCTTTCTGGCAGCGGATCGTTGCTCAGTCTACCCACACATGCTCGTCCAGTCCTGAATATCTGAATTAACTTCAGTGTAACTGAATGTAACTGCTGGGTGTGGTTGTGAGTGTTGATCCTGTTACAGATGCAGGTGAATCTGGAGACGGGCGACGACATCGCTGTGACAGTGCGGGACCACCTGAAGCTTCCATTCTGTCTCTGTGGGGGCAAGAGTAAGACACATAGCTACTACATCGCTGCGAAGGGAGTTGGAAAACTCCCAATTGTTGCTAAGGTGAGGGACAAATACCACACGTTATGCTTATACAGGGAGAGACGTACTTGCATGGGGGATAGACAGGCATCCGGACCTTTTTCGTCCAAATATGGATTTTAGAAATAACATCTGCTTTCATATTTAGATACTATTATGTATTATACAATAATTTAAAATGCAATTAATGATTTGACTATGTAATCATTCTTCTCGTATAGGCGCACAAGAGTGATGTGATGTGAAATATCCATTGTTTCAGGCGGAGATAGTCCCGGGGACATGCGACAACAGCATCGAGCCTGACATGGAGTACATAGGCCTGTCTGATGCTGTCAAGAGAGAGTTGTTTGTCAAGGCAAGAATGCATAATTTAGGAAAACACCAAGTCAAGTTAATTAGGGCCTTTAACTGAAATATAATGAACATGACATATAATTTGATAAACTTATATACTGGTATTGCTGAAGACTTTATCTGTTAACATCTGAGGCAAATCCTTACATTCACAGGTGGAGGGAGTGACACAGGAATACACCAAGAGCGTCTACATCTGTCCGAAAGGTTACATTCTCTCCTCAGTCTTTCCAAGGCATACATCAATAATGCTTTTGTGAAGTAGTCCAATGATATAATAATAATTTACGTAATGTGTTTTCTAAAAGTAATATATTATATTCTCTGCATCAAAGTAGCGGAATACATGTACTTGAATATCCTGACCACGTTCGTAATTGTAGATTCTGAAGTGACGAGGGAAGTGGTGGAACTACCTTTGCCTGATGACATAGTGAGGGGCTCCGCCAGAGGTCATATCTCTGCGATTGGTAGGTGCACCTTCGTATAGTAGAAGACTGGTCTGAGTGAGCATGGTTTAACAATATTCCAGCAACAGCAAGGAAGGGACAGCAGACACTCCTAGGCAGGACAGAGTGACTGAGGGCTGACTCGGTTGTAACCCTGCTTTGAACGTCATGTCCTGTAAGCTGAATGTGAAGCAAGACAAAATAGTGTTCGTATATATTTTGGGTACTGACGGATCCTCGCAGCAATATGTCCTGGGACTTTTCTTACCCTCTGAGCTTTCCTTTTCATTTGGTTCAACGTTATGTAAATGGAATTAGACAGAGGGTCTGTCCCCGGAACCCGCCATTAACGACTACGATACGTTTGCACATTAGCAGGAAAGATATTTTGGAAGAAATGTGACCCTCAGGTATTTCCCTAATAATGAGAGTGTTGTTTAAGTGTTTATGACAATATAGGATTTTCAATAAACCAATGTCTAACCTGCCAGGAAAATAAAGTAATTACTTGAAAACCGGTTTATACAAACATTAACTAAACATTAGTGGGCTGAAAACAATCCCCGAATCATATTTTACTTATTGCAGAGTCACACCTGCGGCCTTTAGCCAGATATTCCAGCAAGAATTCTACAAATATTGAATCTTGTCAAACAGGATAATACAGTGGTAATGAATGTATGACTCTGAATGGCAGGTGACATCATGGGACCGGCGCTGAGTAACCTTGACAACCTGGTCCAACTTCCCTGCGGATGTGGAGAACAGACGATGATCACCTTCACTCCCAACATCTACGTCCTCAAGTATCTGACCTTCACCTCCCAGCTTAGCGAGGAGATGAAGCTACTCTGTGAGAGATACATGGAAACAGGTGAGAACTGTGGAGCCATCCCCTGCCTGATAACGGCATTAGAACTATCTCACTTGTTCATTATACCAGCTTCTCAACCACTAATTATGGATTTGTGATATGGAAGGCTTCTTGGAATTACTTCCACAATTTAAGCCTGGTGATCAGCATGATACATTATAAGTTGTTCACTAGTCACGAGGAGGGCATGGGTTGACGTACCCTCGATGTTTGTTTATGTTCCCTGAGCCCGACATAAACAAACATCGAGGGTACATCAACCCATGGCCCCCGAGGGACCAGTGAACAACGTATTTATCTTACCGAACACCTTAATGTTAAATTTGAATTGTTTGAAGCACAGGTACAAACCTTTTTGTAGCCATCGCTAGATTTTGCTGACAAGAAAAACAGATTTAAAGTTATCTCCCTTCCATCGATTTGCATTTGCAAAACACTGATAATTTCCGTACATCATACGTAATTCAATGTTATTCGAGATTAAAAATTACTACCTTGAAGTTCCAAATAAGTTGCCATTGACATTGAAATGTTACTCGCTTGTAAGGGGGGTACATTGAAAAAAATTGAAGAGCGCTCAGCCAATCAGAAAGCGACAATTATGTGTGAGGTAAGATAACATCCTGGTTCCCGGGCCTCTCATTAGTTTATATAGACTATATATAAACTAATGAGAGGCCCGGGAACCATGATGGGTAAGATAAAAGGTCATGTTACATTAGGTCATGTTACAAAAGGGCATGTTATATATGGTCATGTAACATAAGGTCATGTTACATATGGTCATGTTACAAAAGGGCATGTTATATATGGTCATGTAACATAAGGTCATGTTAATAAGGTCATGTTACACAAGGTCATGTTACAACAGGTTACACCCGAGAACTCAACTACATGCACAGTGACGGCTCCTTCAGTGCATTCGGGAAGAGCGACCCGTCCGGCAGCACGTGGCTGACGGCGTTCGTCGTCAAGTCGTTCGCTCAGGCCCAGCGCTTTATTTACATCGACCAAACGATCCTGGACTCGAGTGTGTCCTTCCTCAGGTCTACCCAGATGGAGAACGGGTGTTTCCGGGAGGTGGGCAAAGTGTTCAGCTCCTATATGATGGGCGGGCTGGGGAAGGTGGAGGATGACACAGCTCTCACAGCCTTCGTCGTGGTGGCATTGATGGAGGCCCGCGTCGCCCGAGATGTGAGTAGTGCATACACAATCACACTTTATTTTTCTATTCATTCTCGGGCACTGCTATGGCGATCTCCTGATTGCAGACTGTTTCAAGTTATCTTATTACAGTAATAGTATGTGCACTATATGTGTGTGTCATTGTCAGCCTAATGAAGCTTGAGCCATGTATTCCACCTATCCCTTACGCCTGTGTAGGACCCTGTGTTGAAGACCGCCTTGAGATGCCTGTCTCTGCAGCCCTTGGACGAGATGGATACCTACACACTGACCCTCACTGCCTACGCCCAGACTCTGAATGACCCCTCCGGCCCGGCATCGGACGCAGTTATGACGGAACTCAACGCAAGGGTAATCTCTGACGGTAGGTGGACACCGTTCAGTATTCCACGTGTGTCGTGAGTTCCTCACATTTGGCAGTGAGAGAGATGTGTGTAAACAAGGAAACTACATCGTTGAAAGTAACATACATTACACTCAATATGAGACAGATTGGAATAGTCTGTGACAACCGCATTGTTTGAGTCGACGACCGTGATTCGGGGGTTTGTTGATTGGGTGTCACTGAAACCATTCAACGCTGGTCGATGCTCGTAACAATCTTCTAATTTTGGCAAAAATGAACATGCCCCCCACTCGACTTTGAAAACAATTGTAGACGAGAATATTTGGTGAATTGTTGTTTAGGATGATCCTGTATGCGCTGTAATTAATAAGATCCCTAGGGGATAAAACAAAGCCATAATGATTCCAGGAGTGTTGGCGTACTGGGGACGAGCAGGTTCCGTGCCTGATGCTGTCAACACTTGGCACTACAGAACAGCGCCGTCAGCAGAAATCGAGATGACGTCATACGGCCTGATGGCGACGCTGTTGTACTATGAGGACGAAGCTATAGCTAGAGGACAACCAACGAGCTTGTGGCTGTCTCAGCAGAGAAACTCCTTTGGGGGGATTCGCCTCGACTCAGGTAGGCACCAGTACCGTCGTAGTCTACTGCCGTAACAAGGTGTGCGTGAAATGTGTAGTTTCTACATTGGTGGTCTTACGTACACAGTGCTGGCCTAGGTGTGAATACATTCAGGTATATCCTAAATCATTTATATAGAAGTTGTACATTTTTACGTAAACAGATCGATAAACTAAAGGAAGAAATGATTCTGACCACATATCAAAATTGTCCCCAGCCATGATCTTCGCATTAACAAACGGGTTTTTTGAGAATCCAATGGTATTTGCCGGAGTGATCTGCCTTTAATTATGAAAATATAACTTAATAATACAGGCTTCAAAGTATTAACTTTAGGTCTGGTATGAGTAGTCTGTTCAAAACTAGGTCTATGAACTGGACATGGATGTGCAAAGGTATATCGGAGGTGAAACAATGTGTACAATTTGTCTTCGCTTCATGGAGGATGAAACATTTATCATGAACCAGTTATTTGATTAGCTTCATACGACCAATCTGTCCCTACAGGACACCGTCCTTGGCCTTCAAGCTATGGCCGAGTTCGCCAGCAAGACATTCACTGGCAACGCCACTGACCTTAGCGTTGCCTTCGACGGCGACAAGATGAGTAAGACGTATGACATCATCACGGGAGTGAACACACTACTGCTCCAGAAGGCTCCTATCACGCACCTGCCCAACACACTCACTGTCTCCACTAACGGTACTGGCTGTGCCTTGATACAGGTGGGGCTCCATGTCGCACGCTTTCCTCTCTACACGCTACTGCTTATGCTTCCTCGGTTTTGTTGCATCTTGGCGTTTGAAGATGAAGACCATACCACATTAATTAGTACCAGTTTGAATAAGAAAGATAGTAAACACGAACTATGTGCAGTTACAGTGGAGCCCGTTTGGGCCGCGTTATGGAATGACTTTTAACCCCTTCACTTGTTTCTAAAAGAAAGAAAATTAGGCAACAAAAGTGCAAAAAACTAAAAGCATCGGCAACATGTCACAAATATCTCATGAGTGTTTATGCTTTCTTTACAAGGCTAATGTGCAGTTCAATAAACTGCCCAAGAATCTGGGAATCCACAAACCTCTGTTTAACCTCGACGTCGCGGTAAGAAGGTCAAGGACGAAGAGGAGTGATTGTGCCCGACGATCAATCAGGATATGTGTCAGGTATGACCCTTGTAGTCAGTCGCTGGCACTGATCTGATAGCCATCGAAGTTTGATCATAGGATTTTACAATGCCTTAACAATGCATTTCCTGCAGTTCACCCAGATGTCAGCAGTTTCACTTTGAGATAGGCGCCCGAAATCCGAATAGGCGCCCGAAATCCGAATTCAAAATACGGCCATAGAGGTTGCCGGTATAAAAGATACACAATGTATACATCTCAAATTTTAAGAAAGATGTTTTCGTCAGCTAACCTTTAGTCACCATTTCCTGTGGTCGATGATGTCGTAGAAGACGCCCCCAGGTTATTCCGGGTTTGAATAATCTCAGTAACGTATGCCAGAGACGACTTTGTGGATCGGGTGGTCAGTCTGGGTGACTTGACTGACTGCGTGCAGTCGACACCCCGACAGCGTGAACCACTGCTCGTAGCGTTAATCACTGGATTGTGTAATCGAGACTGAATTATCTAGAGACCTTTCATAGAGGTGGAATTATTATTATTATTATTATTTTTAATGTTTATTCCTGAAAAGATATTACACAACACAGTCAAGATATGTATTACACAGGACATGAAAAGTGAATAACTAGAAGAAAACAATAGTATATATAATTCTTTCACCCATTCATACCCATTCACACCAACATGATTTTTCATTAACTAAATGTTCATACATTACCCATTTCCTTTTTAAAGTCGGAGAGCGGAAGGTCGCGGGTTCGATCCCCGGCCGCGTCATATCAAAGACGTTAACATATGGTACTTGTTGGTCCCTGTCTGGCGCTCGGCATTAATGGGTACAACAAGGACTGGTCGGCTCAGAGTCAGTATTATGTGTCTGTGTAGGGTATTCATGCTAAACTGCAGCATGGTATCTCAGTGAGCCAGCACTATAAAACCAGCTTAAGCCTGGGCTAGTACAAGCAGCCACACATACACATACACACGCATGCGCGTCGTCATATGAGCGAAATATTAAGTGCGACGTGAAACCCCATTTCATCTCACCTCACTTCCTTTCAAAGTCATTAAACATAGCTGTGTTACAATATCTGTCAAATAATAGTATTTCAATTCTTTCTTCAAGTGATATAAAGTGGGTGATATTTTCTTCAGATAGTATATATGTATATAATACATAGCAAGTAGCAGAATTAGGTCAAAAGTATCATCCGTTCGAAATGTGGATGAACAACCCAAAAGCTGGATTTATTGCTAAGTGTGCCGCACACACACACAAAAACACACAACAAAAACAATCAAAGACAGTGGGAAAGACAGTAATGGCTGTCAGATTACAAATCTACGTCAAGACTGAGGATGGTCTAATCAGAAACTCTATTTTCAGTGCCTCATCAACAGCGCAAACCACTTTGCCTATTTAGTATCATGACAAATGTTATTAGATTGTTATGTTGCTTTACGCAATATTCCAGCTTTCAGCAAAACAAAATCGATAATTGCATGAGAGAGCTGACATATAAAACAAACTGTTACTGACGTATTACGTGAACATTTATTCGTCGTATTTGACTGCAAGATCAGAAAAACCTATTTATTATCGGTATTTTCAGTTTTATGGGTAAGACGGACTTCAGCGCCGGGATGAGCATGCTGACGGTGAAGATGGTGACGGCCTGGACACCAGTCCTCAACTCCTTGCTGGAAGTAGGTCGATAATGCAAAAATATTGTATAGGAAGTCTGGTATGTCATACTTGGTCAGCACCATAGGGATGATGCACTGTTGTATCTTCCCTGTCCCCCTGAAGACCCGTGAAGGGCCGGGTTAGAATGAACCTTCAGTAACCCATGCTTATCGTAAGAGGCGACTAACGGGATCGGGTGGTCAGGCTCGCTGGCATGGTTGACACATGGCATTGGTTCCCAATTGCGCAGATCGATGCTCATGCTGTTGATCACTGGATTGTCTGGTCTAGACTCGATTATTTACAGACCGTCGCCATATAGCTGGAATATTGCTGGGTGCGGCGTAAAACTAAACTCACTCAGTCACCCTGAAGAACACGACGGGGAATTAGACGGCGTTAAACCCAACTTCATCGTTATGTTACCGATTAACACATCCCGTTACTACACAAAAAAGCAGGGGGTTATGTTTTAGCAATCGTTTTGGTATTTTTAGATTTCAATGCACAATGTAATTGCATGGAGTAAACGAGTCTATGAATTTACTAATGAATATGTTTCTTTTCACATTTCAGCTTGAGAGCGTTTTCCCTATTTTGAGTATGAAGAAATACGAAAATGACGTCAAAAAGGGTTTAATAGCATTTTATTTTGATGAGGTGAGCACTTTTGATTCTTTACACTCATACATTTTCAGACTCCTATCTATTCCAAACAAAAAGATGGGAATATGTGGCGTCTGAATGGATTCAGATATTACAATAAGTAAGGTATAATACTGGAGTGCACCAAGGTAATAACACACATGTGCATGACTTGCCTAGCACGACTCCAGTCAGTCTAGTTGTCACGTGGCTTCTCGTACAGATTCTTGGTTAGAACCCGAGCACAATGATGATCAATTGGTTGGAATATATGAACTACGATGACATGGACCGCAGCTAACAGCCTCCTGTTTCATTCGATAATGTACCTGCCAATAATTTTACTGTAAGGTTTCTTAACAACATTTACCCAATCCCTCACACGCTAACATATTTTGGTCGATTTCCAGCTTGATGTTAGAAAACGCTGTTTCGAATTCGAACTTGAGCAAGACCGAGACATAGCCGTGTCGGATCCTAAACCAGCCGAAATACAAGCCTTCCAGTATTACGAAAAAGGTAACCAAAGATAGTTGTCTTGTTCACTTGTTATTTGCGCGTCACATTGCACATTTGATCTCAGCCAAAACGATGTCACGTTAGCTGGGTTCCAAGTACTTCACGCTTGTCGTAAGAGCTGACTCCAAGTTAGATGTGGTTGTCATGTTCACTTATTCCGTCATCGTGTTTATATGGAGTTGATGTGTCAGGTCGCCACGATATGCTGGTACGGGAATAGTGGGGCAAGTCTCGTAGTGAAAGCGTTGGATTTCCCATACATTCACAGCGTATGTTGTCCACTTTCCGTCTGACTTTTGAAGGCTTTGGTCGCACATTCCTCCCTGCACTGGTCAATCCCAAAACGAGGCTAAAGTTTTCGCGCTGTTGTTTGCCGCTGGTGTTGTGTGTTCTACACGTTATGTTAAAGGGTAGTTAACCACAGCGACACGTGCAGTCCGGGAATTCCATCGTGACGTATGCAAGTCAGAGTTATTTCAGGACTTCAAGCCTTTGTTTGTGTTCGATGTTTGCGGGGGCAAATAGTCTGCTGCATAGTTATTGTCGAAGTTTCGTTTTTTTCAGATGTAACTTTAGTTAAATCCTACGAGATTGACACAACGTGTGGAACCAAGGCAGAAATCCCCGATCAAACAACGGTACCAACTCGGATGGGAGGCTCACCGAACATTGCGCAGAGTCGAATACAGAGTAAGATACATACTCTGGTTTGGGTTATTTTGTTACACTGGAAACCTGCATCTTAGATCGATAATGTTGTGAACAAGAGAAATATTTATGAAAGTGGGTAACTAGGAGTTATATTCTGGAAATTTGATGTGTTAATCCGAACAATTTCACCGGAAACCACACGTAATGATGGATTTTCAATGTACTCAGTGTATACTGTACGTTAACGTATGTAGTTGAGAGTGTTTTGTTTTATGTGAACATTGTCCACTGATATAGTTTCCCTCTCGTTGTAATGTACGTTAACGTATGTAGTTGAGAGTGTTTTGTTTTATGTGAACATTGTCCACTGATATAGTTTCCCTCTCGTTGTAATAGTCCACTTCTTATTTTTCCATGTTAGTTGTATTTGATGTCCGTCAAAGTTGTCTGATGGGTTGATAAACTCCTTCTATTTCAGACGTGCTGAACATGCCCCCACTTCCTTCACAGAAGGTTGGTTCTTTCTTACTTTAGAAGATTCGAAAACTACCAATGTATTATGTTTCCGACGAGGGAAGATCATCTATTTGAATAATATTTTCATTACACTACTTTGCTACACTAAACGAATTTTGTAAATGCTGTTTTGATATATATTTGTAATGGTAGCATGTAAAGTTAAATCTTCCGTCAGTGTCGATTAATCTCTACAGAAAACCCATATAAGGGCAGATGGTGATAGAGTGTTATAACCCTAGTGTTTTTATCTGTGATCGCAAGAGTTGAGTGGCCAGCGAGCTATGACACATTGTTGATTGTTGAGAACAGATATGACGTCAGACATTGTCCACGAGCTGGTCACATTACGTCATCTCAACAAAATGCCGACCATTCTGTAGTAAACAGAAATCTGAATTACAGTTCAAAACTGGGTACATCCAGCCCAACAATATGAGACTGTTGAAGTTTACAAGCCAACACTGCCACAGCTATGTGTATGTGGTTCAAGTTGTCGTTCCTCTGTGTTATACTACAGATACAACCCGTGAAGGTCTGGGTTAGAATGTACCTTCAGTAACCCATGCCTGTCGTAATGTGGTCAGGCTCGCTAGCTTGGTTGACACATGTCATCGGTTCAGCGTTTTCATCACTGCTCACGACGTATGGCCATCCAGAAGAGGCTTTCGCAGCCAGAGACCTGCTTCTCTACACTCTTAGTGTGAAAAAGCGTTTAACAATATTTACTCATGTAGCTTGTGGTCAATCATATGTCACCATTCGTGTCACTGGTGTGTTGCTTCCGCTTATTCTGTATGGATTTCGGCAGACCCGTGAAGATCCGGGGTAGAATAGGTCTTCAGCAACCCATGCTTGCCACAAAAAGGCGACTATGCTTGTCGTAAGAGGCGACTAACGGGATCGGGTGGTCAGGCTCGCTGACATGGTTGACACATGTCATCGTTTCCCAATTGCGCCGATCGATGCTCATGCTGTTGATCACTGAATTGCCTGGTCCAGACTCGATTATTTACAGACCGCCGCCATATAGCTGGAATATTGCTGAGTGCGGCGTAAAACTAAACTCACTCACTCACTACTACGGATACAGAATTGCCTTCATGTTGCAGATGCAGGAGACAACGGGCTGCCCTGCTTGTCTTAACGAGAAACCAGAAGATTTCGGTCAATTAATATGTCAGTCAAAAGCAAGTAAGTGTACAGCGAATCATTGATAGTGTTTCCACTTCAGAGAACACCCATAAACAAATCGTCAACATTTCGTAATATTTCCAACAAATTATATCAAACATATCATTTAATTCATATATAATTTAGAACCATATTAAACTGTGGCTCACAGCTAATATTGTCGCTAACCTCTTAATAACTCCTCTACAGTAAACGTTCCCTCCATTGGAATGCTGTAATAAAGAAAGAACAGGTGACTTACCCATGAGCAAACACTTTCAAGGAGAACGTTTGATATTATCTTGAACATGAGGACATGTGTTCCTTCGTGGGTGGGGTTTCTGGTATGAATTGTTGAAAGAGGATAGGACCAATTGCGCTTGTTGAAAGAGGATCTGAATGGATCTGACGGTTGGGCCCTGGCCTATTTGATGCATGTAATCTTATCCCAGTTGCGTGAAGCAATGCTCATGATGTCAATCACTGGATTGCCTGTACCAGATTCCATGTCCCACAACCCGTAAAGATATCGGTTCTTCGGCCACCCATGCTTGTCGTAAGAGGCGACCAACGACATCGTGTCGTCAGGCTCGCTGGCTTGGTTGACACGTATCCCAGTTGCGTAGATTCGATACTCACGATGTTGATGAGTGGATTGCCTGGTCCAGACTCGATTATTTTCAGACTGTCGTCATACTGCTGAATATTGCTGAGTGCGGCGTTAACAAACATGATCCAAGTCTTTCAGCTAAAATATTTCTGCGCTGCCTTAAACAACCAACAAACCTTAATGTGACTTATCCTTTATAGTTTTGCAATGGCTTTTTCCTTTCTCTCCAGTTTATAAAGTTCAAGCGGGTCGAAATGGTACAGCGTCCATGAAAATCAAAGCTGATCTCAGACCAAGACGAAAGACAAAAATGGATGTGTTCGCCAGTTACGCTCTGGGGTCGGAATGCCAGTGTGATCTCCTTAACCCTCCAAGTAAGTATACACATTTTTGTGTTATCTTGTACCAAGATCTCGAATTCAAGATTCTCTCTGATTAGGACAGATCTGACAGCATCATATCTAAGGTTGTATTGCCGTACTTAGGATTTCCTATCCGAGTAACCCGACAGTAACGTGTCTTTTTCCGGTGGCTTGGAAGCTTAAAGGGGAATACGAACGAAAACAAAACTGTTGATATATTGTAAAGGATATCCTAAAAGTCACCTTCCGTGATTAAAACTGAGCAAAAGTTTGTAAAATAGCAATAAAAAACAAAAACGTACTCGTATTTCCGCCAATTACGGAAACACCCGTCAGCTAATGAGCAGAGGGGGTATCACGTAACGTGACGTCATATGTGCGCTTCCTCTTTGATTTTACCTCACAACTTAACAGTGCTCATGGATTCTGAAGCAGTAAAAGATGTTCTTGATGTCATTTCTGAAATGGATGTTAGACCGTATATATCAAGACGATCCGATTTTACATCTTACAAGACAATCGTCGAGTGAAGATGAAGAAGAGTCAATGAGAACGGAGGCACCGCTTGAGGTCTCTTTACTTGGAAAACGGAAGAAATAGTGGCTCTTTCCATTGTTCGCTGATTCCGTGCATCCCCAGGCAACGGAATACACCATCATACCATTTACAAAACGACAGAAACAACACGATTTGTATTACTGTAGCGCTTGTTCGTTGGCAATATGGCGGACGCTTGTCACATATGACGTCACGAGCGGAAAGGTCACGTGAGTTCCAGCAGAATATGCATAATGGCCGAAGCTCAGATAACAGAAACTGTTTTCGCGATAAAAACATAATAAACCATATTTTTGAAATACAAATTGGGGTACATGTTTCTGATGACTTTATGTTTCACCCAGCAAATTATTGCAATTGTCTAGTATTCTCCTGTAAGTGTTGGCTGGTCAAACTGAACACCAGTTCGATTTCTTATATAGGTACAAAACACACGGTGAACTGGTGAGTTTATTGATAGTGCTGTAATGATGTAACTCGGGTACAAGTTTTAAGCGTGTAATTGTCATGAACTAATATTTCAACTCGGGTATGTGCAGATGAAAAGAAAAGGGGTAAGTTTGTTTTCTAATATCTGACTTTGCTTCAATGACATGTCGCTTCACTGTCCAGTATGTTCGTAAGTCCTTCACAGTCGTGTACGTGTAGCCTCTTTTTGCCTCTAGATGTCTGTGAACATATGCTTCCAACTGATTTACAACACGCCATTCACTTCCTTTATTATTTCGTATCTAATACCCACTAACTGTAATTTTGTTAATGCTTATCTTAAGCATCACATCCACACCACAAAGAGAAAAAAACCCATCTATTTCTTCTTCAATCTTTGTTGTTGGGAACATCGTTATCATAGTGTGGTAACATGAAGCAGACCAGATTACTAAATCTAACTCTCGTGTTTTCATACATTATTACCGATGCTTATAAGCAATAATGGTCTTCTTACCTGAAATCCCTATCTCGATTTTCTTGAACATATACTCATGGAAAGTACAAGTGTTCCTTTAATTCGTTTCCAGAATTTTACCCACAGAGCAATACAAAGCTTGTGAAAAAATCTGGAAAAGAATAAAGGAACACGTGTACTTTCAGGTGTTCCCTTATTCGTTTCCACGAGTATAGTTCACGTTATACTAACATGCGTGAACGTATATATACTAATCATTATACAGAGAACAGTTAACTGACCTCTCACAAACAAGAACATAGCGGCCTATCCTATTAAGCTGATAACAAAATCGCATTTCACTGGATGCATGCATGCTATCTTGATTAACTTTGTCTAAATTATTATTTCACCAAATAATATGTTTATGTCAACTGCACGCAAATGGGTTCCGTGATCACCCGTGATGTTTGCACCAACAAGTCAAGTTGTACAAACAATGTGTTTCCCAAATATTACATTTTTGTTACATTTGACCATACATAGCTTTCGGTCATGTGAGCTGGCCATCTTGCCAGAGCCGGGTATGCAAAGTACGTGATCGAGACTACTTGTCGGATTTTTTGTTGAAATATCGGTGGCTGAGCGTGTTATTTCGCTGGCGATTTGTGTCTTCGCTCTGGAAGTGGGGGTTCGAATCCCTGAAGGTACTAAACCCCCAATAATTACTAGAATTTGCACTCTACTAGAATGTGTAACCCCAAAAATATAACATTTCTAACAAATTGTTGACATTACGTTTTGTTGATGAAAACCTACCCTAATGCAAACATTTGCCACCAGACACAGAACACATAAGTCTTTCAGGAAAGCATGTTGTGACAATCAACATTGTTGTTTTTTTTTCCAGTGCGCCGTCTGTTGATTCTGTCTAAACGGGAGAGGTCATTGGTTCCGATCGTCAAGCCCGCGAACGTTGGTCACGTGATTCGCCTCGACTCAAATTCTATTATCATTAACCTTGACCGGAACCGGAAGGTGGAGAAAGAGACCCGGAAGAAGGCACGAAGTTGCAGTCGCAAATCGTAGAAACTAAATCACCCCTGCTTTAAAAATAACATTGTTGGTTGAATGTCTGGTACGTTTGTATGTCGGAATCGAGATGAGACTGATCCCCAGTGCACATTGATGCGTGTATCTCCCGTGGGTAGTGAAGGGATGGCTTCCAAACCCAGTCATCGAACTCGTCACCATCATCACTACGCCAATCCAAATAACTGAATGTTGTCATTGTCCAACAGTACAGGGGCATTTGTAGCAACTATACTCAGAAACATATACGTGAAAAATTCCAATGTACAGTTTAAATGGACAGATAAAGTTTATATTTTTCCTATAATGTAAGACTGGAATGTTTTGTGTCATTTCTTGTGTGATATCTTAGGTATTCATTGAAATCAGAACATTTCATTATTCACGAATTGACTTTCAGTTCCATGGTTCTTCTAAACGAAAGATAAATAACTGTTAGACTGAATCTGCTTTAGAAAATAAATCTTTTCCTGTGCCAGTGTAAAAGATCTTACAAAAATGTAATCCTACCATATTTGGAATTTTGGGCATTGTTGAGAATCTTGGTGTCATCCAATATTACCAATATACACATTAATTGTGCATTGGATGTAGAGAAGACATTGTTGACATGACAGAAATTACAGTTTGTGTTATAATTTGAATTTGACATTCACGCACCTATTCAAAAATACCATTCCATTTCATCTACCACTTCCTTGTACATAGATTGTTGTCTTGTAGTTGGTGTAGTTAAGTGGCCAGTATTTGAACTGTTCTTGTTGTTTGGTGTTACATGTATCTTATATTCATGGTGAAAGTTATGTGACTATGATGCATGTACATAATATATTACATATATACAACATATACTGGTGCCAAGCTTGCATTGTTCACCAAGCATACATCGAGTTATTTGTACTTTTCTATTATTTAGTTGCACTTTGTAGGTCTAGCTTAAATCTGAATTCAGGTTGAAAAGTTGGAGATACGATGGTAACCTTAAGTCAGCAATAAGTGTACTCATTTACAGTAAGGAAAATCACTCTGAATGTCTTTTGATGAAAAAGCGCTATATTTGTCATAGCTGATCACTCACTGTTTCAAGACTTTGAATAAATGAGTAAGGCATTTAATTGGCCTGAAAATGATATATCAAAGAATACATTTTAAGACCCATTTCACGTGGTGCAGGTGACCTTTCTCTTTGAAACATGGAAGACACTGTGCTGAATCACAGATACTTTTCTTATTCTTGGCATTTTGCTGGACAGAGGTGATCAGGTTTGATGCAAAGATAATACCATACACATACCTGGTTGTTTATTACCATCACAGTGTCTAGGTACATGAAATAAACAAATATTATTCCACTCTTCTCTGGTCTGTCTTGCTTACACCTTGATCCAAGGGGAATTTGTATGGTTGTACAATGTGTTAGTTCTGGAAAAATTCCTAAAGTCATATACTGATAGGTTCTGACCAGATATTCACAAATTTTCGCTATGTCAACAGTCGAAAATATCCATGGTTGGCAGATGAGATCATGTATTCTGATCTGCAAAAATGAGTTCCAAGGCAGCCTGAATGTCTCCACCTGTTGCATCCAGTGCACGTCGTGCCAGGTTGTCATCGGTGATGCCCATATCTCGCAGCTGCTGCATCTGGGCCTAGTGAGGAAGCAGCAAAAATGGTGCATTAGCATCAATTTGACGGAGACTTGTGACTTGCAAGCAGTCAGTAAAATACAGATACAGTTACCACATCAAGACAACCTGTGTTATCTCAGGATCATGTTTGTACGTACCAGCAGCTGATCATAGCTAATCATGGTTGGACCACACAACAGGCAGGTTCTTGCAGAGATAAGGCTGCACCTCAAAGTCCAGTTTTCGTGTATTTGATGTTCAATGTCACATTCAGCAATATTTCAGCTATATAAGGGTGACCTGTAAATATTCCAGTCTGAAAATCCAGTGAAGAATCAATGATATATTGTGTCTGGGTAAGATGTCTCACAATCAACCAAGACACTGACCAGCAGGGGCTCCTTTCTTAAAGCACTAAGGTGATCATAAGTCACTAAGGTAACCTTAGTGCAATGTTAGAGAATGTGAGTTAAGGTTAACCTCATAGTTTGTTTGCAGTGAAAACGTACCGTTAAATTTCACTTTAAACAAAAAAGGTAAATCAAATAAAGTAAAATTAAGATTGCGAATCCTCATAATTTTACCTTGCCAATTGAACATTTAAATCTCGAAAATTTATTCAAATTAGGATAAAAGTTGTTTAACAAACGATCATTTGTATTACAATGGGGTAAGCGCAGTAGTTGGAACAGTGAAACAAATGCACGTGTGGTGCGGTACGTGAAGAGCGTTAACTTATAACAACCCTTGTCGTTTTTGGTGTTTCATTTGATGTGCATACCCCCTAGTAATACAAACCAATAATAGCCATGTGAAACTATGATCGTTTGTTAAACAACTTTTATCCTAAGTCGAATAAAATTCTGAGATTTAAATGTTCAATTGGCAAGGTAAAATCATGAGGATTCGCAGTCTTAATTTCACTTAATTTGTTTTACTTTTTGGTTTAAAGTGACATTCATCGGTACGTTTTCACTGCAAACAGACTATAGTAAAGGTTGCTTCCTGAAAGGAGTCCCAGATCTATGAAGCTGCACCTATGATCATTTTGTATTTACATTAACACATATCAACATAGGGCTACATTACGCAGATGTTCACCTTACTTAGGAAGACATTTTATTACTTATTTTGGAAATAAAGAAACACATCCATCATGACTTGGGGAAGAACAGTGTAAAAAAGAAAAACAGGAAGAAAAAAGGTCTTTGCAACATTTTGTTATTAGAATTAATAGTTATGCCTTGAAGAACTATGGATCTATTAACAGTAATTGCTTGAGCAAACTTGGATCTGTTCATGTCACTTTGAAATGTGAAGTCTTTTTAACCATTAAAATGACAATGAGATAAAATGAAATAATAGGTAAAAAATATGTCACAATAAAAGGAAACCTGCATGCCAATTTCAGCTTCATCAGTAAAGACGTATCAGAGAATAAGATACTTAAGATTACGGTAAAGTGCACAGTTCTTTCAACTTCACTCGGCCCTGAAAGGCCAAAGGGTAGCTGACATCTGGTCAAGATGCCAAAATGCTGATCCATTCGTGGCATGCTTGAAATTCTCAAGTCTCCAATACCAAAAAGAATGCAAAAACCATCGTACTCAAAGCTTCAAAATATTGCTTGAACCATTTCAAGTTTAGTTTCCATAGCAACCATACTTGAAAACCTACTTTTCGCAATTGATCCTGAAATTTATACAGATAATTTGATGCAACATGTTGGCTGGCTAGAGTAGTAGGGTATGTAGTTTTGCACCTACACTGACTTAATGACAATGACAGTATTTTCTCTTTGGCTGCACCTACTGTATTTGCTGTAAAGATTGAATCAAGGTCCTAATTCACATTATTTTAAATATAGGAACCCCATATGTTTGGCTCATGTTCTATCGACATCCATGCAAAGTTCAATTCACTTTTTCCAAAATAGTTATGGTTAATAAAGCTTCAGCTCTACAGAAAAGATTGGGGAACCAAAAAGTCAAAGGTTATGGCTTGATAAAAAATATAAATAAACATGCTAAAATCAACCTGTATTATATGTAATTCTGCATTACACATCCTGACTACAAATTCAATTGAACCCCAAAAACAATCGGTCAGTCAGGTGAGCTTAAACAGATCAAAGAGATTCAAAGAACAATGAGAGGACACTTTGAACTGAGGTGCCCAACAAAGCAGCTCTCACCTCTGTGGCGGCACTCTGAGCCTGCAGCATGGCCTGCTGGAAGAAGTCGGAGGAGATGATGGGAGGTCCACCACTTGGATTCGCACTGGATGTAGATGCCCCACCAGACTGGTTGCATCAAACAGATTACATCACTATGGAGGCACATTTCATTAACTTATCAATGCTTTTCAGTTTAAGTACTTGATCATGGCTGTGTACTGGCAAATAATATGTAGTCCAATATACCTAGATAAACTGAGCAGTAATTGACACCATGTACACAGGAAACATTGAGTTCTGGTATGACTGAACACAAAGGTCTGTTATGTAGTGTATATAATGATAAGTTGAAAAAAAGGGCAGTTGTATTAGTATATGAGAAGCAAACACATTAGTCTACGAGTAGCTACTTTTAGTTACTTATATGCATGTAGTGACTATGGTAATAAGATTTTACTTTCTGTTATTCTGACAAAAAGAAAGCAATTACAGTCAATAGAATTCCTGACACCACCTAAAACAGATGCATGAAAGTGTGTTCTTGTACAGACATGTAATTGCAGAACACTAGCATTCTCAGTATATAAAACGGCACCAAAACATTTAACGCATAAGAGAACAACAAAGAAATCTGAATAAGTTTGATCGTATCAAACTGTTTAGAGAAATCTGTCTACAAGAGCTCCAGCTGGGCTTACCCGTGGACTTGAACCTTGTGCAGCTTGAAGTGCAGCTGCCAGCTGTGAAGCTGTGATGCCCTGACCTCCCCCCACTGTACCAGACTGAGAAAAGATCAACGTATAGATTGGCTTACAGCACTGACACACTTATTTGAATTATGAAACTAAATGGACACAATACCAGTACAAATGAAGAGAATATAGGCATGCCTTTTGGAGCTTTGTTGCAAAGTTTCGAAGTGGAAGTGGCAATCAAAACCCTGAAGTGGTTGTGCCAATTGCAGTTGTTGGACAAGTGAAGTTATCTGTTAGGGTTTATCTGATTCATTTTGTCACGGGAAAAGCAACTCATCCTCATGAATAAATAGAAACAGTGGAGGCAAGGGTCTCAGGGAACCTTTCAGTCCCAAATGAAATGGGGAAACAGTATTTGTTACAAGTATTACAGTCGAATCACAGACTTCCATTCATACTTTTGACGATAGTGGCAGTCAACAATATCTCTGGTGTTGCTGTGAGTCTAGCATTATCTTGTACATTTGTTTCAGGAACGTGTTGTCCTTCATTTGAGTGAGTGAGTGAGTTTAATTTACGCCGCACTCAGCAATATTCCAGCTATATGGCGGCGGTCTGTAAATAATCGAGTCTGGACCAGACAATCCAGTGATCAACTGTCCTTCAATTGACTGATACCCTACACCTGTCTGCTTGGCCCCTCTTTATGTATGACTATGTACACTATTTTCTGCAAATGGAATGTACACAACTACAAACTTAGTACACAAGCCCCCTATTTCAATCCTTCACCTGAGGAACGGATATCAAATTGATGCAGAATACTGACAAAAACAGTGAGTGAGTAAGTATGGTTTTATGCCGCTTTTAGCAATATTCCAGCAAAGTCACCATGTGGGGAATCGAACCTGGGTCTTTGGCGTGACGAGTGAACACTTTAACCACTAAGCTACCCCACCGCCCCACAAAAACATTGAAGAAGTTGTGTCTATGGATGTAACAGTCATACAGTTCACACACCGAACAGGAACTGAAACAGTTTTAATATGGTTTGCCAACCAACAACCAAGATATGTAACTCTGCACTCCAAGGTGCACTTAGGTTCTACTACACAAAATTAGAATCAGTTCAACAAATAGTTTTTGTAGGGAACATTCATTGAGAATACAATCTTCTTATGTAATTGAAATAAGCAGTTCAATAAGCATTTAATTTTGGTCACCCGAATAAAAAAGTTGTTTAACAAACAATCATTATTTTGTTGTCACTTTTCGCTATTTCTTACGAGGGGGGACCACTTGCTTGTAGAACAGCCAGGTAAGCGTGTGCAGTGAAATTTCAATGTCACGTGTACAACTCCCCACACCTGGCAACAAGACTGGTGATACGAGAGAGATAGTCTGGACAAGACTGGTGATATGAACCAGATATTCTAGGACAAGACTGGTGATACGAGAGAGATAGTCTGGACAAGACTGGTGATATGAACCAGATATTCTAGGACAAGATTGGTGATACGAGAGAGATAGTCTGGACAAGACTGGTGATATGAACCAGATATTCTAGGACAAGACTGGTGATACGAGAGACACATTGAGGACAAGACTGGTGATACGAGAGACACATTGAGGACAAGACTGGTGATATGAGAGATATTGTGGACTAAAATGGTGATATGACAGAGACATACTGGACAAGACAGTGATACGAGAGATGGGATGAAGAAGGCACTTCCATAATTAAGTCTAAGTGGGGATCATAGATAAAATACCCTGGACAGTCCTGGTTGTTATTGATGATCTTTAAGGCCATGCACTTACCGGTGGGCCAGCATCCTCCTCTTCATCAGACATCTGGTCCAGAGAGTATGTCCCTAAGAGATAAGATGTAACCATGGTAATATCATCAATTGACTACAGAGAAATATAAACTGTGACATTTTCAAATTGGAATTTTGAGTACATAAATCAATGGGATTATTCATTCATAGTTTTGAATTGATAGGCCTTGCCGTTTCAGAGATGGTCATCTAAATATCATGTTGGCCACTGGTTGTTTTTATTCTCATACAGAAGAATAGTCAATGCTATTTTTCGTATTATCCAGTCACAGCCTGCAACATTTTAAATACCTGTGTTTCAAATACTGCTATAATTCAACTAACTTAAGGACCAGGCAAATAACACCTGTATCTCATGGACCACGCAAATAACACAGGTAAGTTAAGGACCAGAGTGCTAAGACTACCTTAAGTCTATGTTAAGGTACGGGAGTTGTGGCCACCTTAGCACTAAGATTGCTTTGTACAACGGCACCCTGGCAACTAACACCTGTATCTTATGGATCAGGCAACTAACATGATTGTCTCATGGACCAGGCAACAAACACCTGTATCTCATGGACCCGGCAACAAACTCAGATAACTCAAGGACCAGGCATGTACATGCACCATGTGTTACACTATAATAGGGGTGACTATTGTGGAGGAAACAACTGTTGTGATGGCGATAGTCTATTGCGACCAACTATTGCAATACTGTTGCAATAGTTTTTTATCTCCTTGAATTGTCTCATTTGAAGTCATTTCCCATATGAATGAATAGTTTAAATGAAATAGAAACAAGTTGAACTTGTTAAAGACTCTTTTAATAGCTGACTAAAAACTTGAAACCCAGATCAAGTAAAACAGTTAAAACATAAACTTATTGTTATTCACAATTTCAAACTCTGAGTCGCATGCCATGTTTGCCGCCATGTTTGTTTAAAAGGTAACAGGGGCGGATAACTCTAAATCAAAGTGAACGAATCTGGTACTTCCTGTATTTTGTGCTGCGCATTTATCAACGGAAGTCAATTACTAAACTATCAATAGTCACACATACTATTGATGCATCTATAGTTTTTCGTTTCATCCATCGATTAATTGCTATCGGAGACTCAATAATTGCAATCCATCGCTAGTTTGATGCCTTGTTACAGCACTAAACCATAACCACACAGTCATGTACTAATTCACCAGACTCTGATTATGAGAGTTCGCAAGATCTTATGAGATGTTTATTAATCCTACATGGACTGACCATTTGGGGAAATAAGCAGGTACATGCTAGGGACAATATCCTTACCTGTAGAGACTCGGGCAGAATCCTTAGAGCCCTCCTCATTGACAGCTGCTGCTATTGTAATGGCGGCATTGCCAAACGATGGATGTTTCTCCAGCAACCTAAGTAACATACTCCAAGTCATGACACAACACACTAGTCACAGCTATCATGGGAGAGAGAGGTGGGGGAACTGAAAGGAACAACATGAGGTAATCGAGGAGGGGGATGGTCCATACTGATATACTGAAAAAATTATCCTGAATATTTTAGAGATATTCTATTTGCAATCATGAAACACTGCTAGTCATGGTTTCAAATTAGAACATTGAAAATTCACCATTCACATGGGGCTTGGTTCTCCTCATCAGTACAATGGGTGAACCACATTTCTGGTGTTTTCCACAGTGATATTGCTTAAATATTGCTAAAAGTGGTGTAAAAAACTTACTCTCTTTTAAGGGCAGCATTCATAATATCGCAAATTTAATCAGAGGTAAAGGTAAAAAGTGAATTGAGCAGTTAGCTGAAAGACGAAGGAGAGAAGGAATGCTGCATTCTCCAGAGTCAGCAATATAACACTAAGGGACTTCACTGTTACCTGTAAATAATACATTCTGGGCTGAGTGAGTGAGTGAGTGAGTTTCCAAGGAAGAAATCGTTATGTTACAAGTTGTGTCATGCAAAATCCTGTTGGTCATCAAACGTATACATATTTTACTACAACTACAAAAAAAAGTAGTTTTGATTTTTTTTCTTGGAAGCGAGGTTGGGGTCGAGCCATCTGATTAATTATATACTATAGGCTTCCACAATGCTCGCTTAGCACTCACAAACATATATGAGTGAGTGAGTGAGTGAGTTTCCAAGGAAGAAATCGTTATGTTACAAGTTGTGTCATGCAAAATCCTGTTGGTCATCAAACGTATACATATTTTACTACAACTACAAAAAAAAGTAGTTTTGATTTTTTTTCTTGGAAGCGAGGTTGGGGTCGAGCCATCGGATTAATTATATACTATAGGCTTCCACAATGCTCGCTTAGCACTCACAAACATAACCCATTTAGCACTAACTGCGGGGTCCGGTGGAAATCTGTGCATGGTGACACCATCACCCGACCCCTTGGAGCAATTGACGGCAACGCAATGATTCAGCATGTCTTCGTTGATGTCGAGAAATCAGCAAAATGGCGAGCTTTTTATACACTTTATATACATACAACTAACTGAAAACTTTTGGGCAACTTTTAATCGCTCAGGTATTAATTAACCACAAGTTTTTTAAGAATGAATTTGGTGTTCTGCTTAAAACTAACCACAAGTCTTTCATATGTAACGGTTAAAAGAGTACAAACAAGCATTGTCACTAAGGTGACATAATCCCCTGCCGCAAATTATCAAATCAAACTTAAAAAGTAATGAAAGTGAAGGTCGTAATTTAAGATGAAGTTAAATGTCAACAAAAACATTACCAGTCAAACTCTCTTGATATCTTGATCTGTAGTTGTTCAAACGCACAAATATTTTCAAGACTCACTTTGACCTTGACATAAATGTCTTAGTGTATGAAATATGCAAAAATAGTAATAAATAAATTGCTTATTGAAAAACATTCAAGGGAAGTCTTGAAAGTCTATGAAGAAAATCAAGTGAACTGTTCATGGGATATATTCGCTGACAATCTTAACATGCAGTTTAACATGCTGAAATCTTCAAAGTGTCGCTGTGACCTTGAAAATTTTTGTGAAGGTCACCAAAATTGACTGGGCCCTGCACCTTCCCTAGATAAAGCTTGGTTTTCAATATGAAGAAAATCCAGGAACGGTTCTTGAGATATCTCGCTGACAAGGGTAAAACGTTAAAGTCCCCTTGTGACCTTTAAATGAAGGTCAAGGTCACCAAACCTGACTGGGACTTTTCTTTTACTGTGATGAACCTAGGTACCAAATATGATAAGAATCCAGTCAACGGTTCTTAAGATATTCCAATTCGTACGTACGGATAGACGGACTGAGCCTAATACAATATCCCCCTTCAAGCTAAACGAGCGGCAGGGAATAAAAACAAAAGTGTATTCGTTTTTTTAAAGTAGTATTTCCATTTTGAGTACTATTTCTGTATATCACAGCTCGTCAGCTTGATATGTTTAGGACGCCAGGAGTAATGAAGGTTTTTGACAGTTGCCATAAATAGAAACCAAAAAGCAAGGGTGTGATGTTGACATACATACAAACATCTCACCAGGATTCAAACCCATGATCACAGGTTTCAGGCCCGAGAAGCAAAGCAACTTTGTGCAGCAAATGCTGGTGCCTTGGACAGTTGTGCCACTCATGCCCCTGGTCATGTACTGTATTACATCCGTGACTGAAGTGAATTACTGAAGTGAGCAGTGAGATACTTACTTTGAAATGTTGTGTGGATGAGCAAGGATAGTGAGGAGATCTGGATCTTGCAGCATTGCTGAAACACGAGACAACACAGATGAATAGAGTACCATGGTATAGAGGATCACCTTCATTCACTGATACAACCTGAGTTGAGTAAGTGGCAAAATGTAATATTTTTCCTTATCCTGACTCATGCTATATTGCTTAATGAATATGAGGGACTAGGTGGTGGGTCAGCCACCTACGGGATTCACTGTGACTGAATAATCACGTTAGCTCATATACCCCCTGGGAACTCTGCTTGTGGCTTGAACGGCATTGACTGGTCTGATGATAATCGGGGGACCACCTTCTCTTACGTCTGTAAAAGAAGTAAATCATATAGATTTCGTGGATTTAGATAAACTACAATACCTCGATGTCTAGTTATCTTGAACGACGAATATGTTAAGGTAAAGACTATTACTGAAACTGGTATAGCAGCTCAATGTGTTAAGGTAAGGACTATTACCCGAAACTGAGCCTATATCACTCATGTGCTGACGTATCTTGTAAGACAGGGGAACATGGACTGTCTGCCAGTGGCAATGGATCAGTTGCCTGGCGTCAATGAGTCTGCGTGACAAGGGTGAGTAATCTCATCGTCTCGCTGGATTTGTGAGTCGCTGCGCTACTGCAAGGGGCCTGAACTGGTGGATACCGGATATGTCTTCAGTAGCAATATATCATAGATAGTGGTTGGCGAACACAGTGTCAGACTTCCAAAAGCAGCCTTTCATAATGGATGATAAAGGGCAATTTCCATGTAACGATGTAGGGCGAGTGTCAAGGCCATTGCTCTTACTTCATGTAGGTGCGATGCTCTAGGAGGGTCTAACCCTGCTGCTTTGTAGGCACACATAGAATAACTGCTCTGATCCAAAATGAGATCGTAGTTGGGGAGACATCAATAGTCGTGGCGGGTGATAGCGGGATGAATAGACGCTTGAACTTCCTCCTCCTTGTAGCAGTCCTCTCCAGGTAGACTTTCAAGGCTCTGACTGGGCATAAGGACAGAGCTTGTAGATCATCTGGTCCGATGGTTGATAGTGCCAGAATGTAAAACTGTCTATCCGGTTGGCCAGGTGAATGATTCTTTGCTATAAAATCCCATATGTGGCCTAAATGGACTGCAGCGCGCTCTCCTGTGTTGAATCTCGTTCGGTCGAAGTCAAGGGCGTAGATTTCTGACATTCTAGCAGCTGTATCTAGATGAATAGGAAAAGCGTCTTTTGAGTTAGCAACTCAAACGTTGTCTGTGACAGTGGTTCATAATCATCGCTAACAAGGTGTTGTAACACTATGTTGAGATTCCAAGCTGGTGCTCTAAACTTCCGTTGTTGATCCTCCAACTTGAGCGATATCAGTAAAATGATGAGTTCAGGTACTTTAGTAAGCTTAACTCCTGTATCCATGGTGATTACAGAACTAATCGCCGACAGGTAAGTTGTAGGCGTAGATCCTTTGAGGTGTCTAGTAGCTCTTAGAAGACACAAGTAGTCAGCTACTTGTGGGTGCATAGCTTCCCTGGCCGAAATTCCTTTACGAGCAGCGTACTGTTCGAAACTGTTCCACTAGTCATCACATAGATTCCGAGTAGATCGTTGTAAAGCCAGTGTAACTGCCTTGGCTGCTCTAACAGAGTACCCTCTTCTCTTCAAACAGTGCGTAATATGTTCCATGTGCTTAGCTGGAGCCCTGCTGGGTTTCCGTGTGGTTGTTTGGTGTGAGGGTGGATGAGTAGATTCGGCCACTGGTAGTTTTAGTGCTCGCTCGCCAAGCTGTTGTATGAGATCTGAGAACCAGAGTAAGTGGAATCGTCTGCATCATCGTTAGGCTCCACAAACGACGCTTAAGAAATTACTCGGGGTCGAAGATCTCGATGGTCTAGTAGACTGAGAGGACCTCACTGATGACAACTCCGATGTAGAGGACTTAACGACTCTGATCCCTCCCTAGGAGGGTACTTCCTATTGGCTGGGCGTTGAGACGTCTCAGCAACAGGAGACCCCACGGGAAGTGACTCTGACGACATGGTAGAAGGCACCAACTACTGTAATTCGCCCTTCTCAGCAAAGACTTTGTTGGCATGCCGCACCTTATCTAAAGTTTTGCATAAACAAGAACACAAAAATTGACTAAATTCAATTTCAGACAAGTGTGCACAATATACACATCTTGATGATACAGAACATGACTGCAAGACACAAGCTGAACAAACAGGGTGCGGGTCAAATGCTGAGACGCGACACTTGCATTGTTTACATGTCTTAATGAACAACAGTCACCTGGAATGAAGTGAAAACGTTCAAAAATTAAACATAATTTACGCAAATTGTTTCACAAATATGATGAATTATATCCTAAATATTCCATTCACGGCATAATTTGATGCTAAAATCCCAAAGATAAAGGATATAAGCTGCAAAGGGACCCTGAAGTGACCTCCCATCTGTCTCTGGGGGCCGATGAAGGAGAGAGTGAGGACAGCATGAATTTGGTCAAGTGGGTGTGCTTTTGGTGGGAAAGGCAAGGGAGGCAACTCGAGGGTGAGTGATTGTATGTTCGCTTCAGGGAACTGGAAAGGATTCAAGTTCCCACTTACCATCGAAGGAGAAGGGAGATAAGCAATATAGCATGAGTCAGGATAAGGAAAAATTTAGAGGTTTGTGGCAACATCAGCAGCTACATCCTTTGTGGTCAGATTTCAACAAATATATCACATTGATTTCACAACCAAAATTGACATTAACAAATGAAAATATGTATTGCAAGCCTTGGTGACTAACCCTGTTATTTTAGAGAGCTGGTTATAAATTGTGACTGAAAACTGTTGTGACTCACATATAGCTACAGGGTCGGTGTCCAGGCCAGGTGTTGCTGCGATGATGTTCTCGATGGTGTCTGGATCTGTCAGCATCTTCTCCACCTATCAACAATACCAGTGACTCAGATTAAGGGAGTCCTCGTGGTTAGCTGTCATTTTACCTGAATCTGGGGACCCCTATATTTTAAACTTTCAACATTAGGATAATGATGAAGGAATCTTACCTTACATGCCTTAAATCTAACTGACTGACTGAGTTTGATTTTACGCCGCTTTTAGCAATATTCCAGCAACATCACGGTGGGCCTTAAATCTAACACTGAATACCAGAAATTATATATGACTAAAGCCACAGCTGACCTCATTACAGAATGAACATACAAGCAGAGTTAATCATGTCGGAACATTTCAAGGCAGTTTTCAATTAGTGCTCATGTAATTCAGTATGATAAATAGACTTTGAAAATGTTGTTACAAACTCGTGTTAAATATACATCGACGTAAATAAACATGGACAGGGAAAATACATTTACTTCATGTACGTGAGGTTGTGAGGCATACATACAAGTATACCCATGATTATCTGCATTGTGTACTTACAAAAAGCTTTTCACTTTCAGCAGAAAGTTAATGTCTTATAATGATCCAGTAACTATGACAACAAGTTTTACACTACAAAGCAGAAGGTGAAAGTCTTACAATGCTCTTGTAAGCTGGGTTGAGGAGGTCACTCTGTAGGGCAGCAATAATCTCGGCTTTACTTGGGGTATGGCTTGCTGCAGCTGCAACATACAGGGGGACTCATTCATCATGACTGTCATTGTCACATTGTCAGGACCCGTGAAGGTTAGAATATTGATCTTCAGTAACCCATGCTTGTCGTAAGAGACGACTAACGGGATCGGGTGGTCAGGCTTGCTGACATGGTTGACACATGTCATCGGTTCCCAATTGCGCAGACTGATGCTCATGCTGTTGATCACTGGATTGTCTGATCCAGACTCAATTATTTACAGACCGCCGCCATATAGCTGGAATTTTGCTGTGTGCAGCGTAAAACTAAATTCACTCACTCACACGTTGTCAGGGGTTGTAGGGACAATGTTAGACACCGAACTGATGCAGTTTGTCAGGTGAACAAATACATGAATAGATCAGTGAAACAATCCATTTAACTAAGTTTTCCTAAATCTGTCAGACCTTTCTGAGAGGAACAGATGTGACTTTCATGAATTTGACACACAAAGGTTCTTACATCTACACCCTAGAACTTTGTCTTCCAGTCACTGAACCATATAATAACATAATACCATAGCCCCAAATTTTCCAGTTGTTTAGGATGAATCTGCACTGTCACTGGGGTTCCCATACCATTTCAATACAGCTGCTTGTTTCTATAAAATATCACATATACTTTGAAAGTTAATGTATAAGGGAGCTGTCCATTATGGGGGATGGTAACGGTGATTGAAGCACTGATGTACAGAAAATAATAACCCTCTTCTAGTTCTAATGCTTATTATATTGTGGATGGCCCACCTCATGTCCTTATACACTGTTGTCGTGTTTCTCCCACTCCAAATGACCATTCCCTTAAAGCTATATACTGCTTCATTTCCTGTGATTTGCAAACTACCTGATGGTTCATCTCGTATCTTCTTCTGCAACACATAGACTGTTGAGCCTGGTCTCAAACCATAAGCAGTGAGTGGTCTGCTTTCCAGAAGTCGCTGACCAGAGTAGATCAATTCTGAAAAGTGCAAAAACTAGTTGTATCACACACTTACAATTATCATGATGTTATTTAGTGTAAATATCTGGTAGAAATTGAAATATATCCAATTCAACAGTAATTAGTGAGATCTTCATGTTTGTTGTGGTTAGTTTTGTTGTAAAATATGTGTTTTTAAAACATCAACCTGCCAACAGACATGTCCATGAGGTTTCAGGACAGTACTACTCTGCTATTTAAGTTGGATCAGATACTCAGAATCAGTGTTTGTTAAATTTATTGTAACTGCAGGTTTGAAAATTCACATAAGTCTGCCATTCAAAGTCTATTACATTCAGGTATGACTGGTGATATTTTCTTGCTGCAAACATGTTTTTAACAGAACTCTGTAGCATATTGAGAAGACTAAAAATAATTATTAATATTGTAACCATACCCACCCTGCAAACTGAACATATCAAGGACACAGTGTCACATAGCGTAATAAAATGTAGATTGTGTACTAGCAGTGGATGGTAACCATCTAGATAATGTGATAATAATGATAACATAGATAAAAAGATAGATATATATTCAGGTAATATGATTTGACTCGAGGTGGGATACAGGTGGAATTTTTCTTGGACTGTACTGACAAGTACTTGGACTTTTAGTCATTTTGGGAGTTCTCTAGTAATTGTTGTGTTAAGTTTAGTTAATAATTTTAGTACATTTATAAATATATTTGGGATGGGGGAACAGGAGGAACTCTTACCCACTTGTTTGCAATAACAATATTTTTCACAAGGTTGGTTTTGTCTGTTAAGATTTCATTAGCACTACAAGCTCTTCCAATTCATGATTTAATTTTTTTTAAAGAATCCATGAAATTCATGTTCCTAACATGCTAGTCATCCTTTAAAGATGTGAAATTTGCAATTGCATTTTGTACAATTTGCAAAGAAATCGAAAGAACTACGGTTTTTCTTTGCCTTTGTGCATTAACAAACATAACCAGGAAAATTTAATAAATGACGCTAACCAATTATTTTCGATGATTGATCGGTTGTAATGAACCAATCATCAATTATGAGATCTAAACCAATTCCCAACACCACAACAAACAAAGTATAGCAGTCTAAGTAAACTTAGTCTCAGTACTATTCGTTACACTCCTCTACTGAGGTAACGAATAATACTGAGGCTAAGTTTTACTTAGACTGAAAGTATAGTGGCTTTGCAAACCTACTGAACAAAATGTCACCTAATTTCGTGGTATCACGAAATTCAGATACATTAACTGTTGTCCGATTTCTGATAGTATAGTGACAAAAATACCGATATCATCTTTTGAAGCTTCGATCTTCTTGGCTATTTCTTGTAAAAGATTGGTGACTGGTCCATCAATATTCACGTTTTGAAGACGAAATCGACCATTTTTTTCTGAGTCGGTTCGATCACGGACATTGATGTACGCCATGTTTAGTTGTGACGTCACATGCACTTTGGGATCCTGATTGGTTGGCACGTTACATTGTACAATGCACGCTGGGATTTGTTGTTGTTTAGCAACTCCACGTGGTAGCAGCTTTAATGTGACAGGCAGTGTGAAGAGAGCATGTTCACAATGACGGGATCATAGGTGTGAAACATGTAGCAGATCACCAAATATGGGTCAGATTGAAATTAGCAATTTAAAACAATTTGTATCCACAAAGAAAACAAAAAGCGAACATCGGACAAGGCGTCTTCGTTACCAGAGATACAAAGAGCAAGACGATTGGGACTCTAATCCTCCCGATGGCTCCGATGTGGGACATGAATCTTATAGAGTGAATTTCTGCACGCCTGAATTAATTGCAAAGTGCAAAACATTTCCTCCACTTAGATTCCCAGAACTACACAAACACAGAGATAAGGAAGAAGGCGAAGAGAAACAGGAGACTGTTCTGGAGAGACTTCGCAAACTCCTTAAAACTGAACAAGACGAAGAATCCCAATTTGTTGCATTACTAAAGAAAAGGGAGAAAGGTTTGAAATTGCTTGAAATAAAATGGTTTAACAACAATGCCAAGTATGTGAAGAAACTAAGCAAGGAACTGGAAAGTTTCTCAAATGATGAAACAATCCAATCACCAGGATGGTTCAATAGGTTCTTGAAAGAAAAGAAGGAATTATAGCACTTGGTCATCTTCTGTCGCCACCCCTTCCAACTGCTCCTAAGGAAGTAACTGAATTCTCCTCCAGAACACCGAGAATAATAATTCGTCCAAACAAAGTAGAGAAAGCAGTTTTCAGTGTGTTTGAGCAATGTCGAAACGCGACGACTGGCAAATGGAAAACAGTTTTCAAGTGTACAGATGCGCGAATCAGTCTTTGTGACGGTGCTAGAGTCAGTATTACAGGGGAATTTGGACTACCAGGAGAATCAGCATTCGACTTGATGGTGGTAAACAAAGAAGGTCTGGATTCGAACTACAAGTTGCGAGGAGCCTATGTGAGGAGAGTCACGACACACCCAGAAATGCTCACCTGGATTATGGCTCCAAATTAGACGTTGCACACATAATCCATTGTGTTTTTACCAGTTTGATATCAAGGGAATTTATATACCCGGTATGAAAGTGCGGCAGATCAAGTGAGAACACTGCACCCAGTCTTTATTGTGAAGCATCACTGAGGAATAACACAAGTGAGAACATTTCTTCAAGGTATTAATTGTTGAAAGTATTCTGCAGGAATATGTAAGACATGAAAGTGAGAAAATTGCATTCAAGGTTCAGTTGTGTTAACAATTGTTCAGGCTTCACCAAGGAATATAAAATCAGACACTTTGCTTTTACGTTTTCATTGCGTTTCCTGTTATGTATTGTTCAAACATCCATAGGGAATTAATAGTGAGAAAGCAACTTCCTGATTGTGGAACTGTTGAAAGCATCACTGAGGTAAAGCGAGAACACTGCTTCACAGATTTCTTTATGTAAACTATTGTGAAGTCACCACTATGGAACGAAAATTGAGATTATTGACTCCATCCTTATAGTGTTGGAATTATTGTTAAAGTATCACTATGGCATATATAGTGAGAATATTCAGAATTTTGGAATTATTTTAAGAGAATCATCACGATGTTATAAATGTGATAATTATTTCCAGTTACCATTTAAAAAACAATGAAATTACTGAAATAGTAATGCGGTTTCATACGTTTTGAGAATTAATTTGTTTGTTTTTTTACATTGTAATACTGTGGGTTTTTCGAATAAATAAGCATGGATATGTTCCACTTGAAAAGACATCAGAATAAAAAGAACTTTGCCTATATGTATTGTTCCTAACAATCTGTATTGTTGTTGTGCCCATATACCCAGCTTGAGGAAAACCGAGGTGATGTATGTGTGGTGGTGTATGGAGTTATCTCCCATTAACCAGAACCCGCATGCAGGTAAGGCTCTCATCGTACGGGGCATTGAAGGAACCTGTGAATCCCAGTTTGTTATGATATACTTCCGGTCCAGGCATATGCCGAGGGGACTTGAGGAATAATGTCGTAATGTTTATTGTAGAAGGTTGTAAGATTTGAAGTTTGTGCTTTGTATGAATCATGCATACTGTATTAAGAATCTGTATGAGTGGCATTTCAGAAGACGTGGGTTCCTTATGGGTACGAGGCCAATGATGTACATACATACTTTTGAATAAATACATCATTGTCATCAGTTATCTAAATCATCAGAAAAAGGTATTCATTTGAGAAAGAAAACAATAATATGAGTACAGTCTGGTTGAAACCCCACATCATTTGATGAGTAATGTATTTGTACTTCCACAATAATTGTTGTCTAATCACAAAACGGCCTTTCTGTACCTATCACTTCCGCATAACACCTGCCAGAGTACCAGTTACCAACTCCTAAAAAAATAATATAAAATAAAAATAACAAGGAAATGTTAGAAATTAACAATTGTATTGTGCATTTAATTAGGTTAACATATCAATACAAATTACGGCGAAGTATTTTCAGTGGCAGCACACAATAGTTTTTTGTTGGTTTGTTGTTTAACGCCGCACTAAACAATATTTCTGGCAGCGGTCTGGACCAGACAATCCAGTGATCAACATCATAAGCATCGATCTATGCAATTGGGATACGATGACATGTGTCAACCAGGTCAGCGAGCCTGACCACCTGATCCCGCTAGTCGCCTCTTACGACAAGCATGGGTTACTGAAGATCATTTCTAACCACCGGATTTTCACGGGTTGGCAGCAGCGTTCGAAATTAACGCCGGTCCGAAGGTCCGAAGCCGACTGAAAACCACTCGGACCCACAGCTTTTGTTTTCTGCAGGTCCTTATGGCCGACAGCTTTTTCATCCCCAATAACTTAGAGTATTATTTCCATATTAAAATATAGGGCCGACATATTGCAGGACCCACACTCGTTGACAGCACACAATAGAGTGGCACTACAAGTACACTGACGTTTTAACATACCGTAGCAGTGGTCAAGCCATAAAATCGGTGATAAAAATATTCACCTGAAAGCAAAAGTGGTCAATCGTCCAAAGTAGCCTCAGGTGGACGTCAAATGACGCTCCCCACACTGACAGTCTTGATAACATGCGAGACGATAGAGGCATGCACATGACTCTCTATATAGCGTAAAACATGAAGTAAAGTTCCATACCATATCATGCTGGATTAATCAAGCTGTTCTTGGAAGATTGCAGGTTTCACGTGACTCCACAAAATATAGAACTTCCACTCATTTGAGTACACGAAGAGTAATGCCTTCCGGAAAACCAATTAGTCACAAAAACACAATTGTATGAACTTCTACTGAACAATAAATTGTAAATACATTAGCATTGTTTAACAACAATTTACACTGTCATATAACTATTTGATTTGCCTGATCTTTTACAATTTCTAGAAAATATGCTAAATTCAGAAGATTTTTCAACTTGACAAACTGGAGAGGTTCATCCCAAGATCTAGTTTCTAAATCAACCTACATCTCAACACTCAGAGGCACCGAACAAATTGTCCAAAATGAAAGCAAAAGTCAGCAGCAATTTACTGAGAAATTAATATGTGAAGTACTAACCAGTTCAACTGACAACATCTGTGTGAAATTTAAGGATAGGACTCTTTTGCTTCTTTTCTGAGTGAACTGTTTCTTTATGCGTATTTCTGTCAGGAGGTACGCCTTCAACTTTCCAACATTCAACTTCTCCTTTTATGAGAGTGATATCCCGGCAGTTCCATTCTTCTGTGTCTACACAGGGTATCCCCGGAGGTTCAAAGAGGGTCAAACAGCTCATACACAATTTGTTTGTCAAGGGAAATACACATTTCAATATTTGACGCATCAAAAGTAATGGCCCTATTTTACAGTTATTTTTCCGTATTTTGTTTCAGACTTGCTTTTGCATGTATTTGTCACGGGAGTCAATGACTGGACAGGAAACATTCATCTTTTTACATATGTTTGCCAGGGGAGCCAACGAGTGGACAGGAAACGCTCACTCACCTATTTACATATATTTATCACGGGAGCCAATGACTGGACAGGAAACATTCATCCTTTTACATGTATTTGTCTCGGGAGCCAATGACTGGACAGGAAACACTCACCTTTTTACATGTGTCTGTCTCGGGAGCCAACAAGTGGTCAGGAAACACTCACCTTTTTACATGTGTTTGTCACGGGAGCCACTGAACAGGAAACACTCACCTTTTTACATGTGTCTGTCTCGGGAGCCAACAAGTGGTCAGGAAACACTCACCTTTTTACATGTGTTTGTCACGGGAGCCACTGAACAGGAAACACTCACCTTTTTACATGTGTCTGTCTCGGGAGCCAATGACTTGACAGGAAACACTCACCTTTTTACATGTGTCTGTCTCGGGAACCAACAAGTGGTCAGGAAACACTCACCTTTTTACATGTGTTTCTCTCGGGAGCCAATGACTGGACAGGAAACACTCACTTTTTTTACATGACAGGAAAACTGGACAGGAAACACTGGACAGGAAACTTTTTTACATGTATTTGTCTCGGGAACCAACGACGGGACAGGAAACACTGACCTTGTTACATGTGTTTGTGACGGGATCCAACGACGAGATAGGAAACACTGACCTTTTTACATGTATTTGTTATGGGAGCCAACGACGGGACAGGAAACACTGAGCTTTTTACATGTGTTTGTCACGGGAGCCAATGAGTGGACAGGAAACATTCATCTTTTACAATGACTGGACAGGAAACATTCACCTTTTACACATGTTTTGTCACGGAGCCAACGAGTGGACAGGACAGGAAACACTCACCTTTTTACATGTATTTGTGACGGGATCTCCAACGACGGGACAGGAAACACTCACCTTTTTACATGTATTTGTGACGGGGGCCAATGAATGGGCAGGAAATACTCACCTTTTTACATGTATTTATCACGGGGGCCAATGAATGGGCAGGAAACAC